AATGAAAATGAACATGGTGAGCTTCCGTTCTTAGATTGTTTAGTGAAAAGAAATATAAATGGAGTTCTAAATGTATCCATCTACCGAAAGCCTACACACTCTAATCGTTACATCGACTTCCATTCAGCACATCCTTTCAGTGCTAAAATTTCGTTAGCCTTAAATCTTTTTAGAAGAGCCAATAAAATCATCACTTCAGAAGAGGACAAACTAAAAGAACAAAAGGAAATAATTAGCATCTTACAATTTAATAATAATAATAGAAATAACTCAGTACACCTGTCTTCCTACTATCAACTTGTACTTTTAACAATTATTATGCTTGGTAATGTATTCTATTTCATTGTGATTATTGACTCAAATAGCCATGATTGGTCGAACATTTTCATATAAATATTCATGTATATTAGAGTAAAGCCTGATGACGATCTAATTGAAAACAATTGTTCGCTTACATATGTTGTTCAAAAGATTTTATCAGAATTCACATTCTACCGACAAGCATGGCTAAAAAACAACGCTATTTTTAAACATCTTATTTAATAATTATCATGTTCTTACTGGTGAAAACTGTTGAGAGGTAACTCCCGGAATTCTGGTGAAAAGCGTATCTATAACAGTTCAACTACATCGATGATGAGAATGATGTCTTGAATGGTAAATGATGATGGCCGCATAATACTGTAGATTGACTGAAGCTAGAAATATAAATAATTGAATGCCAACTTGGTGGTCTGACAGTTAAATGTTCTCTGTGAGGAATAAAGGTTTTAAGGTGGTGGATGTGCTTTGCTGTAGAGTTCCGTACCAGGATATAAAAGTTATCAAGTGTTTCTCAGTTTCTAAATACTAAGTTCAATCCACAATCAAACAACGAATTCATTAGAATTACTTAATAAGAAATGACCTGTTAAGTTAATCTAAGATGGTTTATAAAAAGACTTAATAAAAAAGAAATTGGAAATCATTTTTAATATCAACGATATGAATATCGAAAACAGCGAATTTTTGCACAAGTGTTTATTATTCTTTTGCCTTAGATAAATCAGTGGTTTGTGGCTAAACTTATGTTGTAAAAGACAAACATCCAAGCTCTCATATTAACATCCCGCCTCAATATTATAATCTTCCACACTCGGGGATTAGTCTGTAAAACCTTTTTCCAATCAACACATATTAATTAATCGTCATTTATTACTTCAAGTTTTCAATTGAATATCCATATTATTCGCACAATTCAAATGAATATTTGCATCTCATAAAACTATTTTAATTTTATGATTATCCTTAAACGTTTAAATCAGTAAACGCTTCTGAAACTTGAATGTTGGATAATGAAAGAACATATTCACCATATTAATATATGTAAAGCTTCAGCAGACGATATCTTTGACAAGAAATTTTCACTATCAAATTAACACAATTTCTTCTTTAGCTATACAGTTCCTTTCATTGAAGTAATAAAAGTCTTGATGTTATGGTTGAATTTCGTTGTAAGGTGTATTGATTAAACTTAACAAATTATTTTTACCTTCAGAATTCATTTTAGGTATCGACAGACTTGAAGCATGAAAAAATTCCTAAGCCATCTATACTACTTTGAAATTTAAAGTAGTGCCACTTATTCGGTGAAATATTGTAATGGTTGATTACTAAACGCGAAGGCTGAATTAAGTGAACTGCACATTTTATGAATTCTGGGTGACTATACCTTGTACTTCCATATTTGTCCATTGATGATTGCAAGTAGTTTAGCTTTTTTATTCAATACACTTCAACAGCACATATAACAGTTTTGTTTTCATAAAATATGTGCTTGTCCACGATTACGGCACAATGAACATCTGAAAAATATTCAGTCACAACTTTTGAAAGCTTATTGGAATTGTACCAATTAACGTTGCAAATCCATATATTTAAAAAGTATTACATACAACAATTTGAAGAATTTATGTTTCATTTCATTATTGATGAATTGAAAAGACATTGAGAATGATCATCTTCATTGTTCAAATTTTTCCAAAAAGGTTTACTGAAAATTAGTTTCCCTAATCTTTATTAGCTTTTAAATCAATAAATCTTATTGCTCGTAATATTATATTGTCTAGTTTTTCTGAGTATGTATACGTGACTGAATAAATTTACAAACATTTATAATTAAATAAGTCTTCAATGATAAATGTTATCACAATAGATTGGATTGTTTATATAAGATTTTTCAGTAGGTGGAATCACGAACCTTAGCTATCAGAAATACAGAGAGGATTAATAAAGAAAAACTCTGCATTGATGATAAAAATGTGAGAAGAAAAGTGGATGGACTTAGTGATCAATAAATTATAAGTTATGAAGAAGTGAAAGTGTAATGCCAAATTGTTATATCCCCTGGTGAATTATGAATGGTAAATCTGAGGTCTATTTATGGACAAATGTAATATGTCCATTTCCTATTGTATAGTTGTTAAATAACTGACCTAATAGTATTCGTGTTTCTCTTATCGTAACCTTTATTTTGACCTTTGAACTATTATTATTGATTACTTTCCCCATATCCACAGCCTCATTGGCCAATTATTGTACAAATGTTAATTTTCTATTTTTTGGTATATGGGGTCTGGTTAGTATATAAACCCAGTATGCTTGTGAATAATGATTCATAATGCCGAGGCTGTTATTTGTGTTCTGGACTCAACTGGCTGGGCTAGGCAGATAGCAGGGCCAATACGCAATCAAGACTGCTCGTACAATTTCAAGTATCATTTGCCTCCGATCAATAAATTCATTCCTCTCCAATTGCACGTCCATATTATTACGAGTTCACACGTTATAACACAAATTATCTTTTAGGAGAATTTCACTGAAATGAAATGATCCTAAGAACAAAATATTTTTGTTTATTGAATTTATTTACAGAATATGTGTAATTATATAAGAACTTTCGTCTAAACTAGAGCGAATAGTTTCACAGTATTTGGGCGCCGACTTGATGTAAGACATTAAATAGGAATAATACATTTGTAAAATCTCAGCGAATGAATTTGAAGTAAATCCAACGTTTCGCCTGACAATCTGGTCCAAGCTTTTTAAAGGAAATATTATTTCCTTGGATTTACTTCAAATCAATTCGCTGAGATTTTACAAATATATTATTCCTATTTATATGTAATTGGGATGTCGACATGACTTGTGAAAAGAATTTATATATAGGTATGAAAAAAATTTATCAGTTCATGAAATATATAAATGATCTATTAAATAAATATATGGAGTGATCTTCTAATGTGGTTATTTATAAATAAAATTAAACAAATAATTAACCACAGCGATTCAAAATTTCATCATCATAAGTCAGTCTGACTGATGGACTGTGTCTCTTTAGCTATATTTGACGAAAATTAATTGATTTCTCTAATAAATCAATGTAGTTGTTGCTCACAAATTTCTGGACCTTTCTTCCGATAACTATAATCACAGTTCGTATAATAAATGTTTTGTTTTTAAATACATGTTCAGAAAGATAACATGGATTATGTTTTATAAACCTAGGAATATAATAATTAACAACTAAAACTGCTGATAACATTTAAAAGTTATGTAAGGGTGTTAAAAATGATTATAATGATGTCCGTTATAATCGAGCTAAGCAACCAATAACTTGACAAAACAGCAATTTACTCCTATAAAATTCAACTTGATCAAATGAGGACAATGCAAAAGATTTTCTTTGAAAATAAAACAGTACCACAAGAACACGTGCAATATTAACAGAAACAATATATTCTTCTCATTATGTACTCCTTTTAATAGTTTTATTCAGGTTTTCTTGGATACTTTGGTAAAAAGCTTAACCTGTTAACTCTGTTCTGTGTCGGAAGATTCCTACAGAATAAGACACATACAAGTTAAGCGTTTCAAAAATCTACTTCCTACACTTCGTCATTTTAGAATAGCAAGTTATTTCCTAATGTACTACATGAATATATTATTTATATTTAATGAAGAGAGGATTATTGATATTACTCGGCTACCGGAACCGAAATAGATGAGGCTAGGTTCGAACCTGTACAAAATATCATGAAATATGTCTACAGGTATTTTTTACAATGGAACTGGCATTTCAGTAAAGTCAGAAAGTCTAAAATACAACCCTGGTATAGATTAAGTTAAATTCATTGAGAATCGGACATCAATTTAACCGTAATAGAATGTGTTATACAATGATTTATCCGTTAGCAATATACCTTGTATCAAACGAAACTCTTACTTAATACATAAAAGGTGGAGACATTTAGTTAAAACACTATAAAACTACATACTTAACGAATGCGATATGGCTACTTGGGCAACAAACATCTATCCCAGGCTCTACGTTATTCATGACTGGCACACTTAATAAAATAATATATATCGAAAATAGAGCTAACAATACTTACCCGAAAATTCGTTAACCATTATTGTTGTATTCCGAATAGAATTGTGAATGATAACTTTTCAGGTCTATTTATGGACCAATATGATATGTATATATCCTATTATATAATTGTAAAGTAACTAAACTATTCGTATTCGTGTTCCTCTTATTATAAGCTTTATTTTGACCTATAGACTATTATTATACGATTTACCATCCTTGAGTTATCCCCTGTCTATTGATTACTGTTCCCCCTATTCACAGCCACTTTGAGCTGAATCTTATACAAATGTTATTTTCTATTTTATGGTACGACGTGGTCAGTTTGTTTGGTATATAAACTCAGTATGTTTGTGAATAACCATTTATATTGCAGAGGCCGTTATTGGTGTTCTGGACTTAACTGGCTGGTCTAGGCAGAAAGCAGGACTGATAAGTATTCAAGATTGCTCATACAGCTTTTGTGTATCACTAGGCGATCAATAAAATTCGCTGCTCTCTGATTGGCGGTCTTACCACTCATATATAACAGGGTACACTCACACCCACACGATATGACAATTATAAAAAATAAATAACATCGACCAGTCAATATATCATACGAAATAGATTTATTTCATTCAAAATACACCTCCAACATTATTGTTTTTTTTCCAAGAACAAAATTACAAGGAGCAAGTTGAATGATCAAACAAAAAGTATAATAATTACTGGTTTAATAAGTATATGATGTTTTGCAACAATTTCAACAAAAGTATAATCACATCATTGATTTATTCTATTCTTTCTAAATATTTATTTTTACAAAAAGCAGTTATTATTGGATTATGATTATGTGTAAACAGCAGACAGAAAAAATTAATCAGCATTGGTTTAATTTTGCAAATAAAACTAAAATTTAAAAAGTTATATCAATTAAAGCAAACCACATGGCAAGAAGCATAATAAAAATTACAAATATGAAGATTGGCGGGGAATATGTAAAGGAAACCAAAGGAAGGATTACAGGTTTTGATTTTTGTAATAATAACAAGAACAACAAAGCAAGTAACTATGGTACTCTTAATAATAAACTTAAATGGAAATTCTTTTATCTCAAAACAAAACCGTTTTTCTAAAAAAAATCTACGGTTTTTATGGTTTACTGACACATTTTATTCAATAAGTTTTCTGATTACACATGGTTGAGGTGGAGGGAGGATAATAGAAAAATAAGAAAAATTCAGCATATTCTGGAACTAATAATCAGTGAGAGAAGAGGAGAGGTGATAAACGAGAAACAAAACACAACTCAATTAATGCAAACATGCAAAATAAACTGAACATAGTTCATCAAACAACTGTTACTAATAGAACCGGAAAAAGTTGTTGCTTAGACAATAAAAATGAACAGTACTGTACCGAGACAGAAAAAAACAACAACATTAATGATAACGACAAGGGGAATAAGTATTATTGTAAAATTATTTTGTTTTATCTAATGCAACTTTTATGCGAAGGGTCAATAAGCATTAGACTAGTCCAACATAAATATGTAAATAAACAACCCCACAACTAAAAGAAGTCACATAAAGTAAATTTAGGAGAAACGAAAAAAGTAAAGTCGATTTTCATATGACAAATTGTCTTATATACAAATATTAATTATTAATTAATGCATCAGATGAAAGGATAGATAAGTGAATATATAATAGTAGTGAATAAAAGCAAGAACAAGTTGGAAAATCAGTATCATTAGGGTAGATGATGTATGCAGGAGAGTGAGAAAAAAAAAGTGTTAAAAGAAGTTAGTGATCACGACAATTATATGAGCAACAATTATCATAGAAAAAAATCTTTTCAATGATTAACTACAAGGTAAACAAATTAATTAAATTGTACAAGTATCATGAATGAGATTGGAGCGACAAAAAACAACAAAATAACGATTTCTTTGAAAGACATTAACTTATTAACCCGTGTGGATAAAAAAAAGGGGAAATCATATATCATTAGAGATAAACAATGATGTAGCATGAAAAACAAAGGATCATTAGTTAACGTATTTGACATAGTAATTTTACCATACTGCTCCATAAACACATACAACATAGAGAAAAATAACAACAAATATTTTGAGCCAAAAATGGTGACAACAAAATTAGGATTAATTGAACGGATGAAACTCGATTAGTTTATACAGTCAATGCAAGAGGTTGAAAGGAAATCCACATAAACAAATAGACTGGTAAGAATGATGGTCATGATCAATGGAAAAGGGTTCGAAAAGCCAAATACTAAAGAGAAAGTATAATAAGTATGAATATTATTGAAAATACAGAGAATTGAAGCCATTATTTGAAAAAAATTTCTAACAAAGGCATTACATATATATAAATAGGTAAACAAATAACTTTCAAAGAAATAAAATAGATTAGCAAGAACAGAGAAGTGGTTTTTTTCTTTACACAATGTAATCAATTAATTACACAGCTTGGCACGTAGGAGAGTAATATAGTGTTAAAAAGGATATAATGCAACGAAGGAGTAGGAAATTAGACCCATCAATGGGTTTTGCATCTATATTTTTCTGTACAGTTGTATATTTTGCGACGAAGCTGACAAGATGATTGATAATTCTTGAAACAAAGAAAAAAATTAAGAGAAATGATTACCAAACATAGGAAATTTCAGTGATAAGTAATGATTATTTTTGATGACAGTTTGGTAATTTATTTTATGATATTTATTTTAATCGTTTAAAAATCCCAATCATATTAAAAGACTAATAATTGAACGAAGAATATTCTTTTCGATAAATTCTCTTCAGGTTCTACAATTATATAACCAAATTAATAATCCGAAAAATTGGCCCATATTTATATTCTGATTACAGATCTTAAATTTTCACTTACCATATATACAGATTCAAGTTAACATTCTATGAGTCATATCAACATTAACAATTTTATTCTATTTCATTTGACATTCCTAAATTTACATGCATTAAATGATATTTATTTATTTTATTTGAACACATAAATATTGGTACAAAGGGTCACCGAATAAATATGCGCCACACAAGTCACATGATTTGTGTGTGGGCTATGATAATGCCGGGTGCCCAAACCGAAGAAAGTGGTTTTCTTAGGGGACAAATCCACAGCCTTCGACCTATTTTATAATAACATAAATGTGAGAAATTTCAATTTAGGTTGAACTATTTTATAAATGAAAATTCTATCCTTTAAATACAATAACTTCATTAGAATAAGAAATACATTGTATACCTGCAAATTTTTAGGTGTATTTTGTTGTTTCTATATTCCTTTTGTAGTTTCTCGATTAATTAAAACGTTAAAAGTGACAATAATATCAGTTGGTGAAATAAATAAACTCCACCAACACTGAATTCAGTCAATTCGAACAAGAACAGAAAACATTTGTTGGTACTGTTGTACAGCTAGAATAATGTACACAGTCTCCTCCTAACCAGGATGGAGATAAACCTATCAAATGTGTATTGATTTTTATAGATGAATCAACTCTCTCTTCAAAAGAAACAAAAAGAAGTGATAATGATACTGATAACAGATATGTGTCAGAGTATAATACTGATAAATTAAACTAATATATGACATAAACACTAAAAGATAAATCGCATCAATTGTAAATGGGTGATTTAAACACTAGAAGTCTATCACCTGCCATTACCACACTAAAAAAACATTACGTACACAGCCTGTCTTGAGATTCAATTCTAAGAAAGAAAGAATGGACAGAACAACTATATTTCAGCAATATATTTATATATACCACGAATTCTTGTTTTTATTGTCAGCAACTTATTGTTATATATAATATCAAATAAATCTCGAAAAAAATTTATAATCGTTGTAAACATTTCTTTAAACTTACGCAAATATCGATAAAACTGCATATGTGCATGATAAGATATTTAACTGAAGGAGCAGAAGAAAGAAAACGGAGAAATCCGCTTCACACAAATAACTGTCATGAATGATAAGTGGGATACAATTTGAAAAAAATCTCCAGCGAAATTTGAAAGTATAAACAAGTCTACTTTCGTAAACTTATAGTAAAAGGATAATTGAAAGTCAGTGTGTTTCTTTTTGTACATTCTGAGTATAAAATTAATTAATGTTGAAAGTCGACTATTATAATCATAATAATAGTCGTAAGGAAACGATTTTAATTGAATGAAATACGTTTCATTGCGTCTAGAGCCTAAAATGTATGTATACATAAAAAAAAAGAAAAAAACCCTAGTGATTACCAAAAAAATCAGAATTAACATTATTAAAAATTGGTGAAAATGTAAGCATATAAGAAAAAACACCATTTAGCACATTATATTGGTGTCTATAATTTAATAAACACAAACTGATCAACACACAGATAACTTTACGAAAAATCAAAGTTTTGTAAAGACGAAAAAACAGGAATGTTTAACTGAAATCAGGAAAGTCAAGTAAAACGCCGTTCTTAATTATGAGTCAATTATAATCAACGTGAAAGCTGGCATTAGCGTGTTGTAGCCCATGTTGTCGTATCACGTCAGCACAACGAGATGAAAGTAACAAGACAAATACTGATGCAGTCAAAATAAAAATGATACCATCATTAATAGTATAACTAATCAATGAAAACATAGTTCCATAAAGAAGGAAATAAAGGCACACATGAACGATGAAAGGGAAAAAAGCAATATTGTGGCCGAATTTGAGCTACGCCATTTAACACATTCAACCGCTAGTGGCACAGACCATAACCAGGTACTTTGCACCTACAAAAATGGCTTAGTCAAATAGTTAGAAATCCCATGAGTTGATTATACGGTTTGGATTATTCTGTACTGTTTTTTTCCAACCCACTCCTACTCTAATACTGAACGTCAGGTAAGTGTTGAACACCTAGATAAAATAATATAACCAGTAGATACATATTTAAAGTGAACCGAGAAAAGTACACAGCCGAACAATAATATACTGACTAGAAACAGAGTTACATAGGCTATTATGAGACGCTAATTTTTATCATTGATCAAGTATCTGTTGTTGTCATAATGTCTTGGTTAAATATTCTACACTTAGCTGAGTTCTAATTTCCAAGATAAACAGTCCCATTTGAAAGTTGAATGTCACAGCTAGGTGATATCAGTATTTTACGAAACAAGTATAAGATCATGGCATGTTCGAATTTTTAAACTTATATATTACTCCAATAATTGGTTGACATAATCTTTTGAAGTTAACCTTTCATCGGGATTGGTAAACCAATCGATACGATGAGGGAACGAGATAATTTATACGACAATTACGGGCAAATGAGTAATAACTAAATGAATTCAATTTTTGCAGTTATAAAAAAAACAATATTAATATCGTTCTGAGATAAGCATACTTCTATATTTGTTTTTTTGAACATTTATAAACAGCGACTTCGAAGACAACCGATCTTTCCGGAGAGGGAAGACACGTAGGTTGTTTGTTCAATGAAAACCAGAACTAAGATTATGAAACTATATTTTACAAAATTTTTCATAATTTAATTTTATAGTGTTCATTTATAGAAATACGTTTGTTGAATCTTTATTTTTTTGTTCAAAAGATCCATAAGAGTCCTTCAAAGAGAGGCTATTCAGATGTCTTTCATTTCATAATTTTTACAAACCTTAATGTTTTTTTAAACTGCTGTGTGCATACAATTTTCTTAAAGTTAATTCATTAATGATTCACCAAAAACAGTGAATCGGCTATCGAAAAGCATAAAAGATCACATACATTTGATGTTTTAAACAAATACAGAGATAAAAAATCATTTGGACGTGGATCAGTTTTACAGTACTCACGGCATTGCCAGAAACGCTGTTTTTGTCATTCTTAAGTGTTTGTCCGAATTTTTATCAGTAATGTTAGGGTCTTAGTTCACATGTTCACTGGACAGACTATGTATATATTTTATCATTATTCCTTTTAATTGCCTTAATTTGTCGACGAAAAATTATTGTTGCACATGAAATGTAAATCCATTTTGTGAATATTGGTTTGCAACAAAATTTACGCTTGGAGATCAAACATTTACGTCAATTTAATAAGTGTCTAGAATCTCCATTTTACATATACAAAAACGAGAGTGATAAATTGCATTGAATTGAATGATTCTAACTAATTTAAACAGAAAAATACTCGCCAACAAATAGTAATCGTATTTGAAATATAAAAAAGTTAACAAAAAGGGAATCGACATCACAATTGAATTGGAACCAGCATGCAAATCACTTTGATAAAAAGAAGAAGAAACGAACTGCAATTATGTACTACATAATGAAAATTTACTCTTAAGCTGAATTTGAAAAACAAACTTTATTTACACAAACGTCCAGTTTACTGAGAAACAGCATGTGTAATTTGGGACCACTGAGTAAGCACTGCCGCGGTTAGGACGAATAGAGTACTACGTGAGAATGGCAAATTGATTGATAAGGTGATAGATTTTCATCAATTGAGTTAGTCGGAACATGTGTTACGTAGGTCTGACCACCACCTACTTAGACAGATGTTGTGTGATGTGAGAGTAGGTTGGAAGAAAGCTAGGGACAGTCAAGGTAAGATGTAGCATCAGTCCATGGGTTCACTGACAAGTGAGCAATATCAATAGGTGTAGACTATCTGGTTGTGGTTTGTGTGATCATCTTAATCAATGGTTAGAGACTTTGAATGTAAAATAGCTCAAAATTGTCTGTAATGGCGCAGGTATACCCATTCTTTGTCTTTCCCCAAATTTCTCACAACTTTTTTAAATTCACAAATTTATATTTTCTTGAATCGTATCTTTGATGTCTAATATAATCTACTACCTAATTCTGTTACTAACAATACTATTCTGGGGTTATTTTGACAATTTTATTTTGTTGTGCTGAAGTCGCATGAGAACTTGAACCGATGAACAGATGCAACAAGATCAATGTTGCGTTTCACTGACTAACCGCCGAAACTTACGGTCATTCTGATTGCAAAGCAAGTGATCATGAGAAACGCATGATTCACTTAGTATGTCCACAAGTACTGATTACTTTGAGCTAAAAAGAGACGAATGTGTCCTGATTAGATTATACTGCAGGAATACTTTCATTAGACAGTACTATAGTAGGACCGTTTACGAATACTGCAATGAACAACGAATAAGAGGATAAGTGGGACTTTAATGTCTCAAATACCCCGTATAAATGAAAATTTCCAGTAGACTACTTTGATTGTAAATAGATATCAAAAGTAAAACATAAAACTCATCCCAGTCTATAAATGTTTACTGTTGAATACAGCTGAGTAACTGCAATGCACAATGTTGCCTCAAAACTTGTTTGATCTGATTATAGGACAGGGAATCGAAGTAGTCGAACAATTTCAGCGTTTCACTTATCCTAAAAATGTTATCAGACCACATGAACAGTCACTGAAGAAATTATAAAGTGCACACGAAAAACTCACTTTTATCTTGTCAAATTACACCACCACTGAATTAAGTTATGTGTTTATCTGCCCATTAAAGAATAAATTTGCATATTTCTATTACTGATTATGAGATATCATCAGGTTAAAGTTAGAAAATATGAGTAATTGCTAAGATTTTGAATAGATTTATATATAATGAGATCATCAAAAGTAAGTATTGTTAAGGTTAGGGTGTTAAGGTAACACATAATGAAGTGATAAACCGATTGACAAGACTATGAGACTTCTGTCTCGATCTCATAGCTCAGTGGTCTATCGGTTAAGGGCTTCGGCTCGAGACTAGTAGGTCCTGGGTTCGAATCTCACGAGAGCGGGTTCGTGGATGCACACTGCTGAGGAGTCCCATAATAGGACGAAAAGGCCGTCCAGTGCACTTTTTTGCCCCCAAATGCCCTGGTACGGCTGAGAGTGGGGAAAGTCACCTCTCCCTCTCGAAATACTCTCATATGGCCACGCGAATATATAGCCTCTGCCAGGGAAGTCCTACTCACACCTTTCTCGTGGCGGGGGTGTTGTTTACGAAAGTGAGAGGACGAAAAGCGAATGTCCGGCGCTTTAACCGGGTTGATGGACATGGAGGGTCCACCTAGGGGAGTTGGAAAACCCTGGTTCCAAACCAATGAGACACATGGGCTCTAGTATCCCGATGGAACAAATGGCGTATGAACCTATTGTTGATCACCGGCTTCCATGGGACTGCATCTCCTCACGATGCTCCACAGTCTTGTGGATCAGACCTTTAGGTCAAAGGCTCCGGGTGTGACCCCTTAAGAAAACCACCTGTTTCAGTCTGGGCACCTGGGCAGTATCACAGCCCTCACACAAATCAAATGAGATTTGTTAGGCACATATTTATCTGGTGCTTTTTTGTATCAATATTTATGTGTTTAAATAAATAAATAACAAATAACATATCAACAAGACTCAAATTCTCTAATTCATAACTATGCAAACCAACTTCATTTTAATGTAATGAATGGATGCGATTAAACGCATAATATTAACCTGGCGAAATAATTGATATTTTAAAATCACGTAAGATTATAATTAAGACTATGAAAAATCACTGTGTAGAAACCATGCATTAAATGTTTAAATAGAGAAAATTGAAAAATACACAGAAACATTAATATTTAAGTGTGGAACAATTGAATTAAACATAAATTTTTAAATTTTCACTAGAGGCCTCTTAAAAATGTACCTATTTAAAAAAAATACTAAACAAACACTACAGAAGATGACAGCTTCATTTGTGAAAATGCATGCAAACAACATTTCGTTCTTTTTTTTCACAACAGACAATAGAAAGATGTGCATTGATTGTCAGCTTACCCCTAAATATCACCAATAGATATATTTTATTCAAGATGAACAGTGTTGCTCGAACCTACAATAATGAAGCAGTAAGTAAGGAAGTAGTGAACATTTGTTATGGAATTACAGCGATGTTATAAACAACACTTATAATGAATAAGATTACATGGAAACTAATCAAGTAAATAATGAAAACTTTTTTACGAAGTATTACAAGGTTGTCAATTTTCAAATAAAAAAACGAAAAAATCATTGAAAGTAGGGAAGACTGCACAGATGTTTTACTCCAGTACAGAACTACTCAACAATGCGTATAAGAAAAAAAAAGAATTTTGAAGCCAACAAATTGTTTTGAATTTTAGGCTCACTTTGTGAAAATCGAAGCCCTGGGTTTAATACCAGGTGGAGTTGGGGATGCGCATTGTTGAAGAGTTTCGTACTAAAATGAAAAAAACTATTTTTGGTTTTCAGAGGCTTCCTAACTAAGCTTAGTTCATGAATTAAAACTAGAAAATGAACAATCACTATAACCCTCTTAACTGATAAAAACAAAAATTAGTATGAAGGTCACAGTGAGAACTATATGTGCATGCATACAAATATTGAAGTGAATATATATGAAATTTTCCGATAAATAGATGAGTATATTACGTAGTTTGTAATTATGAAGTAGGAAAACAACTAAGAACTAAAATAGCTGATTTATCCAAAATATAATAATAAAAAGTTAACTTACTTTCATCTTTGGATTCACTAACATTCAGATCTCTTAATCTACCAGCAGTAATAGAAGGGGTAGGATATATTAAAGTTGATATATTATTGGGATTCTGAGACTGAACAATTAGTTCTGTAGATAGATCATTTTGAGGTTTTAGTGATGTCGCTACAAATGACTCTGAACATTCAATTCTGGCTTCAAATAAACGTTGTTCTGCATGCAAACGTTGTGCTACAGTATCCTCGAGAACACGTTCACTTTCTGCAACTCGAACACCAAGTTTACGGGCTTCTGATGTATATTCCTCTAAACATCCTTGACTTAAATGACGTAGATCTAAATTTTACATTTATCCGGTGAAAACAATGAAAGATGTCAGCAATTCTAATTATATATATATATATATATAGTTCATTTAAAATATGAAAAAAATATTTGAAGTTACTGCGATAGAGACAGTTCATTTTTCCCAATAATTTATCAATAAGCTCATTAACCAGGAGCATAAAACATTGGAAAAAAAACTTCAGTGAAAAGCAATATCATATTCCAAAAGAAACCTGTTCAGTAATATTGAAGTCAACCAAGACATCAGATTAGACACAAATGCTATTCATATTCTGCTGATATGACAAATAGGCCTAATGGATGAGAATTATGTCATAATTTAGGATTACATTATTGTTTTGGCTATTTCAACAAAGTTTCATATAAATCAATAAGATTTTGATAAGGAGCAATAAATGAACAAGTGAAGTATAAAACTTACTGTCCAATTTAGTACCGAACCCTGAAGGAGTTTGAAGGGATCGTCTGTAATAATGGTTCATACAAAGAAGAAAAAACAGAATACTAAAAATTATATCGTACGATGGATGTAGGTCACATTAAGCATCGAATATTACTTAAAACTACAATTGATATCAATATACTAATAAAACATTATAATTGGATGTTTGTAACAAAACTCTGTTTAATTAAAAGGAATTAATAATTTTTTCTTGGGGCTAAACAGTAAGAATGGAAAAATCTAGGAGTTTTGTGAGAGTTAGGATCTATCATGAGCATTAAAAAAACAATAGAAACTTTATAAAAGTGAAATGAACACATTTATATTCACTGATTTCACCTATTCTATTCATTTTAATATGAATCGATAAATCATAAGGACTAAGTAAGAATAAACAGTATCAACTTAAAATTGTGTTCAGTTATTCATATAAGAACCACGCAGAAAAAAACAAACAAACATTGATAATGTTTTAGGCGGAAAATATAATGGTTCATTATTAATATTAATATGATTCATCTACCGATCAGTCATTCATTCTTAACCTACAGGCTAGAATAAAAGTGCATTAGCTTAAATCGGGATACCACATTAGCACGAAGAGACGGAATAAACAAGATGAACAGTAGAGTAGTCGACATAAGGTATCGCATTAGCAGTGATAACCAAAAAGCCTGAGCATTGACAATCGGCTGATAAGTTTAGTACGGGAGGAGGTGGGGAAGAATAGAATTAATTAGTTTCTACCCTTTTTCTTTTTAAAAAAATTACTCATTTGATTGGTTCTACCTGACTTTCGTATTATGTGATCCAGACCAATTATGTAGTCACTGTTGAACTAATACCCACCCGTTTTTACTGCCTTTTGATTGGGTAAGCTCCATGGATAATACCTCATTTTCTTTGGATGGTTCTAATCGTACGTTTATAAACAGTTGTTTCAGTCGGTTCATCTCTTTGAAAAAAATAAATTCTCGAAGTAACCACATTTAATTAATAATGAATTAGGACAACTGATGGTATTTAATTTCTATGTTATTGAGTTAATTGTTCAATAATGAAAATGTTAATTACCAACAATATATAATGCTGAAAACAACCTAATGCTGAACACATGTTTAAACATATTCAACAGTATCTTCTGCATATAGCGAGAATTAAAGTCATTTGATGTGGAATACCAACAAAATTCGAATTGTAAAATATGTTTACTAGTATATTATTATAATTAGGAATTTGGATGCGGACATAATAATAATAATAATAATAATAATAATAATAATAATAATAATAATAATAATAATAATCGTTTTGCTTATTATCAAAGTAATAGTACATATGATGAAATTAATTATATAGACCCATGTAGCGATAATGAATAACAGGACAGTGTGTTGTAATGTCACTTAAAATGAATTGGAGATATAGATTTTGTTTACTAACACAAAAAGTTCATTTGATTAATCATGTATCATAGACTTACTCTACTCAAAAATAACATTTGGAAATGCTTGGACAAGCGATTATTTTAATGATAATTTTTACAAATATTATAAAGTAAAATCGAAGGATATATTGTTAGATGATTAAAATATTTAAATCTTGAAAACTCTAACCTGTAGTAATTTACAGACTTATCAATCAGTATTGCTAAACTCTGAGTAATATACTGATAATTATCACTAGACTTAAGGAGTGGAAAACGCGATACTGAAATTAGAATAGTAATTTTTATCAAAATAACGCATGTAGAAACTGGACTAAGTTTCTTCAGTTATGTATAGTTATTTTTTATATCCCGATAACAATAAATTTGAATATGAATCAAATGTCAACTGAGTGGCTAGACGTGCAAACGAGATAACAGCAGATGCCCTCGTACGGTCAAGGGTGTATAGCCCACACTCCTCCTCGAAATGCTCTTACATGACCAAGTGTATAGAGCCACTACTAGGGAAGTTCTAAGGTGAGGGTGTTATTTACGAAATTAAAAGCCAATATCCGGAGCTTTAACCGAATCGGTGTGTACGGAGGATCCACCTAGAGAAGTTAGAAAACCCTGTTTCCAAACCAATGGTGTACATGGGTTCCAGGATTATGAAGGAACAAATAGAGTATGAACTTATTCTTGGCCATCGGTTACCATTGTACTGTATCTCCTTACGTTGCTCCATTGTCTTATGGATTCAACCCTTAGGTCAAAGGATCGGAGAATGGACCCATACACTAGAACCGTATTCGATATTTGGAGGTTGGAATAAATAACATCCAGCACAAATATCAAGATTTTCATTGTCAGATTTTCCACTAGGCTTAGAGGTTTAATTATTAACTTGCACGACCAAATTCGCTTCAGTTCTGTCTTCACTGTTAACACTAGATATTGTAACATCCAGATCTACATTTCTGAAAGGATCATTTCTACTGCTGATTTCTTCCATTTTTCGGTCTACAGAAAACAACAGTACTTTGCTAGGATTTTTATACGGATGGTCAGCTGTATTAAATAGAAGTTGACCAGGATCAATATGTGCAACGATAGAACTAGATAAAACGCGTAACAGGTAGTTGACTATCAGGTCAAAATTCTTGACGACTTATTAACATTTTACTGATATGCTTAGTTAAATCATGTCTAGTTGGCTGTCGCTGGCCTTCCGATTTCGGTATTCGTTGTAGTAACTCATCAGGGTTTGAATAATCGCCAGACAAAACCCAAAGTCCTTCGAGAAAACTAATTCAGTACCTACGACAGGAAAATCGACGAGCTACATTTTTTGACATACTGTTGAAAAGAAGTAGCATTTCAGAAAATTCTTTACTTTGTGATGCATCTCACTTGCTCCTCTAAGCTCAATGTAGGACTTAACTTGTCCTACAGATATCCTACTAAAACTATAAACGCGATACTGGCGATCCCAGAATCTATGTGAAAGCTATAGTTAGAACAAGGACAACTTAGCTTTAAACTTTGTTTGTTTCTAAATATAAAAAACAATCCGGTTAGCACAATAATTAAAGGATTTATAGTCATTAAGTGGAACGCACGAACATACTATCCAGTATTGCATGTCTTATCGAAATGGATAAAAATTATGAGTCACACTAATATAATAGGGTAATAATATTAAGGTAACATGGTGGTTGGAGGTGGTCAACAGGAAACCCTGGGCCCGGGTTTCGTGCTACTTGGCACTCGTCAGCAAGGTGTACCTGTAATCTTGAGGGAACTGATACTCCCTGGCGAATTCTATCCCGTGTCACTCAGCTTCACAGTCAGAGACGTTACCACTGAGCCGTTCGGGCCGCGACCGACCTCCTGTAGGACTGAGATCTAATCACAATTGATTGATCACTGAGTGGTGATCAATCTCATGCGTGTCAAGTCCTTAGTGCTGATCGAATGCTATCGATAAAGTAATAATATCCTTCAATTGGTAAGTCACACGCAACAGGGATAGCTTACAGACACATCAGACCAGATTGATATATTGGGCGTTCAAGCAACGATTGGTTAGTTATGAACATAACTAACATCCCACCAAAAAGGACACAACGTCCAGGCTTTGCTATCGCATTCAAATAATCGGCCTCTTCTAAAAGGCACAGGTTTCGTACATCCCGGCCGATCTCTTCAGTTGCTATCTTCAGTCGAACTGTTTTGACTCGTCCACCTGGACCATAACTGGCGTGTCTAACTATAGCTTTTGGCCACAGATTTACCGGTGAGCCAATATTGTTTACTAACACTAAATATATAGGCTGTAGATTTCTTCTCATATCCAACAACTTGAATCTCGCCTAAAGGGTTGATAGGTACTATAGTAACCATACATTCCAGAATAGGTACAACCAGATTATCCCAGTAATTAACTGGCTTTACGAATGGTCAATTGTTCAATATCACTTTAGCATCTATTAAAAACGTCTCCAAAGACTCGTCCGTCAATACCTTATGAAACAGTAGTGATCTTAGAATTCTTATTAACTTTATGATGCGTCTCCATACACTGCCTTGATGACTAGCTCTAGGATGGTTAAAGCGCCATTCGCAACCTCTTTCCAAAAAACGCATTTTCTATCTTATTCTGGTCACAACTACACACAACCTGTCTAAGACTGTCTATGACTCACTAACCATCTCGATACTTCATAAAAGACTTCTATCAACCGAATAAATATATGAGATCAACAACCACTACTAACAGGCTATCTAGACATATGGATAAAGAATTTACTGGGAAACATAACGATATGCCGCTTGAGAATTCAGTGACACTTCATTGCGCATACATATTTTATATAAAAATCATTTGGATTAGGATGACTGTCTAGTATAATAAAACGGCAGAAAGTCACATTTTCATGTGCTTAGTTATCTCAGGAGTTCTGCTTCCTTCGAAAATCCTACACCGACGAGCATCACCCTGAAAATCAAATCAGCTTCACCATCTAAAATAGACAGTGCTGACAACAATTATGACAAGAACTAATATTGCCGAATCAAATTCCCCACTTTTAGGAGTCCGACAATAGGCATTTCATTAGACGGCTAATATAACTCTTTCGATTGGCGGAAAAAGGGTACAGGTGAATGGGGGTGCTGGTGAGTTTTAAAATAAATTTCATATCTTTACGAAACTATTCCCGTTTAAAACATGTTACGCTTGACAATGTGGTTAGAAAAGATAGCGTAGAAAGGTATTTACAAAGGAATACTGAAATCGAAGATCGAGAGTAAGATTAAGAGTGAATGCATCAGCGTCCTTTTGAGCCATGTCACCCAAACTATTCTACCACAATAATCAGGTGGACCACAAACAGACAGTTTTCATATACGAACAATTTCCAGTTCACCAATCAATGACTCTATGAACCGATACAAAGTCTTAGCTTGGCGTGATCTTACTTTTCTTCCAACATACTGTTTATCCAACCAAAATTGGGTGGTGGTTAGACATGCGTCTTTAATCTATGAAGACTAATATTCTGATCAACAGACAATTTTGTTCAGCACCTTGGTTCAAACTCATAACTGCTAACACAATGACTCCAGGATAAATCGATACTTCCTTGAAGACACTTATGATCAAAACCACGCATGCTAATAATGCCTTTTGCCTTTACCAACTATGCTTCACAACCATAATAATACATTGAGGACTATTCACAAGCATATTAACACAAGTATATAACAGATTAGCAGATGGATCTCTTAAATACACTACAAGTGACAAGATCGTGGCAGAAGCAAACGCAGCTTTCGAAATCTCTCCCGAGATTTTGTCACAGAACAACAAGGAGAGCTGATGAAACCTTCAAAACGAGTGAGTTAGTCTGTCCAGTACCAATAGGCGAGGATAGCTTTGTGATAGGTTTGAACCTGAGATACAACAGTTAAAAACCTAGTATTTCAATCGCTAATAAAATTAACCAAATAAATCCACATTTTCATTGAATAATGAGTATCATAGGGAATGAAAACAGAGACGAATAATTGCTTGTAATATTAATGTATCAAATCAGATAGAAAAATGCTACATACTGTACAGCTGATTACGCTTTCAAATATTGATGAATATTCAAAACATTAAACTAATCGGTAAACCATAGAACAATAATTTTAACTTACAAAATTGAACTAGTAACAATTGATATATGTTCTTCAGTTTCCTTATGTTCTATATCTGATACAACTGTTTGGTCTTCACTGAAATCTGATTTAATTTGCAGTGTGGATAAATTATCTGCTGTTGTAGTCAACTCATTAAGTAGGCCACCAGATGGTATTCTAGAAATACTTGTTACTGAAGATGACCAATTACTAGTCGGGATTGAAGTGAAACGTGGTCTGGACATAATGATATCAGAAGGTCGATCAGATTCTGGTCCAGGTATTTCAGCTGTTTCTAAATCCACGTCAGATGGTGGAGGTGGTAGGCTTGCAGCAGCAGTTAATAATTCAGCGACCAACGGTTGAACATCACCTTGAAGTAGTAGAAAATTAGGGGGGGGGGAATGATATTCATATTTAGCATATATATGTAATTTTGCATGTTCGTAAAATTCTACTGTACGCTTTAAATGTCAGTGAGAACAAAATTAACTAATAATGTGTTTAGGTTCTTTCTCATAGAATTTATATAAACATTCGGATAATAATTTATTCTAAATAAACCGAAAGCACTCTCGAAACATAAAATCAAATGTACGGAGGAAGATATACGGAATTAAACATTGTTACATTTAATTAAAGTTAAATACCATCAAAAAGTAAGGATATTTTTATGAAATTCTATTTTAACGGAGATAACATAATCATATATATATATATATATATATATATATATATATATATATATATATATATATATATAACCACTACACATAAATTGAGCCTGATAATACGAAGGTCACGGACTTTGTTTCTCGTTAAATTGTAAATGAATACCATTTTAAAAGTTCCAAACTAGGACGAACACAGATGTCAAGGATATTTTATTCAAAATTACGTGTAATAAATGAGGATATACCTTGGTATGAATAACAATACTGCTGATACATTATCGATATATAAGTATACATATATGTTCTTTTAGATATAATGCCTTCAAATGCCCTGGTACGGTCGAGGGCGGAGAGTCCACCTATTCTTGGCCATCGGTTACCATCGTACCGTATCTCCTAACGTTGTTCCAATGTCTTGTGGATTCGACCACTAGGTCAAAGGCTCGGAGAATGGTTCCCTAAAAAAACCACCTCCTTCGATTAGGGCAGACGAGCAGTATCTCAGCAGTCACACAAATCAAATGATAAAATGTGGCGGATATATATTTGGTACCTCGTTTTACCAACGTTTATATACTTGAATATCCAAATAAATAAATTTAGGATAAAATATACATTGAATTTCCTGCAAAAAGTATGTTGGAAATGCAGAACATTATTTATGTGAAGTAATGTGTATTAAAAAAGTATAAATCTGGTATTGTAAGTCATTTTATTATCTATTTGACCTAAAGAAATTGGAGAAAAAAAGGTGTTCTAATGAAATGAATAAAAATAATTCCGTAATAACAACATTTTATAAATCGCTTAATTTTCTCGCTTGAGTTATATATATATATATATATATATATATATATATATATTCTTTCTATAACCTTTATAGCGTATTCTTTAAACAAAACGGACAAGCTATTTTGTCTGGCCAGAAAAACATCCAGTTGTAATTAGGTCAAATGCTGGGTAAAAATACTTGGCAACTATAAAATTCAATCGGTTAGACAGTCATAAAAGCAACGAAGCACCGGGGACAATTGTTCATCGGTTAAAGATGTCACGTCATATTAGATGAAATTATCAAGATGAATTCCGAGTTGTAGGGGTAGTAAAAGTATCATCAGTGGTGGTAACACATAGACAATTGATTAAAAAAAAGGATGAATTCGTGAGATCGATAATTATAAGTATTTTAAATAAAGACTGAATGAGTCTAAGCGACTGTAACTGATTCTGAACCATATTATCTGTCTCTTCCAACCATTGGTTACAGTGAACACGCAGACCCCAACCAGGTAGGTTTATTCTGTGCTTACTTACACTGACTTCATGAATTTATCTCAAATCTTGGTTTAGCCGCCTCTACCTTTCTTTTAATCTATTCCTACGATTGCAAAAATAAGGTATTTATAATTTTTTATAATTGTTTTTTTTTGTTACCTTCTAATCGTCCCGGTTGCCGAGTCGAATCGTCAGAATCTATAGTTGAACCATCACATATTGTAGAATTATTCTTATTATTAACATCAATTTCAGGTGTTAAATCTTCTGTTGAATCTGGTGGGACAGAGCAACCACTTTCTAGCCCTAAATCTGGTGAAAATATCCACGCGTGATATTTGATCACAGTCTCAACAAGCTATACACAAAACAGAAAAGAAATTAAGCATAAAAATAATCAACATATAGATCGATTTGATCACTGGATCACAGCAAAGTAATGAATATGTTTTGTAATAATGTTGATAATAGTAATAAAAGTAATAACGTGAGAGTATATTCAGTCAGTATTACTTTAATAAACCAGTGAAATTCATAAACAGGTGTGCTAATGTAAGAGATTCTATGCTAACAAGCAATTTTTCATGCCTGATGTTGAATTTTCCTACTGTATGGAGCTGAAACGTGGAGAACTACTACGGCCATCATCAGGAAGGTACAAGTATTTATAAACAGTTGTCTACGCAAAATACTTAACATCCATTGGCCGGATACTATCAGCAACAGCGTTTTATGGGAGAGGACAAACCAGCTTCCAGCTGAAGAGGAAATAAGGAAAAGACGTTGGAAGTGGATCGGACATACATTAAGGAAATCACCAATGTGCATCACGACTCAATCCCTAACTTGGAATCCGGAAGGGAAGCGGAAAAGAGGAAGGCCAAAGAACACACTACGCCGGGAAATAGAAGCCGATATGAAAAGGATGAATAGCAACTGGAAAGAACTGGAAAGTAAGGCTCAGGACAGAGTTGGATGGAGAATGCTGGTGAGCGGCCTATGCTCCTCGACGAGGGGTAACAGGCGTAAGTAAGTAAGTAAGTAAGATGTTGAATTTGGAGGTATTAACAAACTAGAGGGAAGAGTAAATTCAAACCTGGAAAAATTGCTTCACATGAATATTATTGATAAAGAGGAATTTAATTTGTTAAAACCTATGGGTTATGAGTATCCTCATTTATATCTGAACTACCCAAAATTGATCAATTAAATACTCCTTTACATCCAATTTTATCAATGTGCCGATCACCCACACATAACCTAGCCAAATGGCTAACAAAATTATTGGATTCTATTCGAAGACGTATATGTAAGCATTCTCTGAAGGATTCTTTTGAATTGGTCGATCATTTAGGTGACATTAATATAAAAGGAAAACCTATGTGCTCATTTGACGTGAATTCCTTATTCACAAATGTACCTTTAAAAAAGACTATTGACATTTTATGTGACTATATATCTTCAAACAACCTTAATTTACCTATCCCCTTAAAAATTCTTAAGGATTTATTACTTTTATGTACTGATAAAGTTCAGTTCACTTTTGAAGGCGAATACTTTTGCCAGATTGATGGGGTCGCTATGGGTAGTCCGTTAGGACCATTACTAGCAGATGTGTTTATGGTACATGTAGAAAATGCATCTGAAGACTTAAACAAAAACATGTCACTTTATAAGAGATATGTGGATGATATCTTAGTAATCGGTGAAAGAAAGGAAGATATAAACTGCCTATTGAATAAATTTAATACTATCCAAAACCATATAAGTCTTTCATGTGAAGAGGAGAAGAATAACCAACTTCACTTCTTAGATGTACTTATAAACAGACGATATGATGGCTCAATAAAACGATCCATTTTTCGAAAACTGACGTGGACGGGTCAATAACTTAGTTACTATAGTTATTGCCCTGTACAATACAAACGTGGTTTGGTAAAGTGCCTTTTTAACAGGCTTCGTCGTATTTGCACAAATGACGATGTTAAGTTGTTAACCAATACATTAATCGGGAATGACTATCCACCTAAATTCATCAATAGAAGGAAAGCTCAGGGCACAGCGAGACCTACTGTATAGCCTTGGTAGAGAAAAAGCCTGTCTACATTACCTTACCATTTAGAGGTGATTCAAATAGCCCTTTATTGAAACAAAGGCTTAAATCTGTTATCAACAAAACGTATTGTGCTGCGAAATTCATAATCAGGGAAAGAACGAGGTCCATGCTTCATTCAAAACCTAGACCACATGAAAACGATTGTGTTACATCCCACTGCGTTTACCAATTTAAATGTGTGTGTGGTCACACATACATAGGGAGGAGCAATCGTGATCTGAAAATTAGGGTGACCCAATAAGAGTAGAGGATAAACATCCATCATCCTATATTGCTAAACATATAATCGAAACAGGTCATAAGATTGATCTAAACTCGGCTTTTGTTGTGTTTAAAATAATTAGTCCCTTTGATAAATTTCGATAATGCAATGAGAAGACGAAGTTTAAAAGTGTAAAAGACGCCCTTTTACACCATACTAAGGTTTATTGAAGCCTTAGCCATACGAAAATTCAAATCCCCTTTATGTATTCAAAAACAGTTTGTTCTCTCTTTAAACATACCCTGGTAATATATGCTTATTATCTAGAGTGATTAGGTGTCAAATTGTTTTCACATTATTTTATCATTATTATCCTTGTCTATTCTTACCCCCTATTTCCAGTCTAGTTGACCTTTTATTTTTATATATAAATGTTCTTAACAAGTATATGTGTGATCAGATTGTTCGAAATGTATTGCGCTAATATATCACATAGTTCTGATAATCTTCGTCTTCACATTACGTTCGCGAAATTTACCAAAGGGACTAATTGCTATGTATCTTTATCTATTCAAGAGACCAAGTTCATTTTCTGTTTAACATAGTATACACGAGCATAGATATACGTATGATGAATATAATTGTCAGACTAAAACAAATGATTAATATAAAAATATTCACACTGATATTGCTAAATTATTATTATTGAGGACATTAGGTCCCCAGAACTAACTTGGAAAAGGTCCTAATTATTTTAATTTCATTCTGAAAATTTGAACTTTGTATTTTCGCGCCAAGAGACGCTTAGTTGACCTACAGCTTATACTCCCATTCGGAAATCCTTGACTGTCATTGGTTGACAGATTTTTTAGTACACTATTTTGTGGCTCTCCCAAGGGCGTTTCTATCAGTGTATAAATAATCTTGATTGGTGTGCTTAGTGACTTCGTATTTTCTGGGTGCTTGTAGAATACATTCTTTACGCCTCATCAAGACTTGCTGATCTAGTTAGCAGGGTCAGGGATAACGAATTATAATAACTTATCGTGTTACTGTGTCATTGACCTTCTTTCCGTTTACCGTGTAAGATGAACTCGCAATAGCATCAAGGATATGGATTATAAAATAATTTCTTGTATTAAACGTATACATAGAAATAAATACATGTTGAATATATTGCTTACCATAATTTTATATTTAGAATCACTCATTAGTAATTCAGGTGAATCTTCACATGGTTGTACAAGATTTGGTGCAAATACTAACGCTAAATTATATGCTGTCATTTTATTCACTCCTTCACGAGCACTAACACGAGCTAAATGGGTAACAAGATAACGAAGTGTAGCTCTATGTGCTCTATACTCTGGATGACATGGATAACATTCCATAATACTTAATAAACGTTGAATAGATAGAAGACGTTTTTCACGTTGTGGTAAACGACATGCAGCCAGAAAATCTGGATACATAACTATATGTACGGCAACAAGGAGGGAAAAATTAAAAGTAAGAAAAACTTCAATGATACTGTCTACTAATATAGTATATGTTATTAATTAAGAGATTTAAGTCACAAATGACGAGGATACGAGTGAAGTGAAACAACTTTTAAAATAACAGTTTAAATGAGAAAATTGGTTTAGGAAATCTCAAAATAATGAGTACTCAACACGCACACGTAATGATTAATTAGTAACAATGCATAACAAGATGTAATGGTAATAATGGATCATCATTACGTCGATTTCAAACCATGATGAGATAAACATCGAAATGATTTAGTGATCGATTCTTAGTTATTGAATAGGTAAAGAATAATGGTAGGATTAAATTATTTCCAGTTTGCCAAAATATACTACTTCTACTACTAAACCACCGGGACCGAGATTATACTACCTTTAGATAGGATACTGGATCGATACACTTTGCACATACTGGATTACGTTAAACCAGATACATGATTTACGATCAAATATAGCGAACCATAGTATAGGCCAAACAATACTTTACTTAACACAATTACAATTACTTCACACTGAGTGAGTTGAGAGTACAAATCAATAATAGGAAAGGAAATCACGTATTAAATAGTCAGTAAGCTGTCTATCGGTCCATTCATCTACGCTCAGTAACCAATCATATTTTACCCTAACTCGCTATATATCATGGGCATAAATTAGTTCTAAGTGTGTTTGTTCTTTTAGAAAAGTATGGACAAATTATATAACCTCAATGAGATTTTCAGATTAAATACATTGACTACTGAATGTCACTTAGAAAATGCCAACGTAAGTAACTGATAAGGACCTAACAAAATAAAATAAATTTATATTGTTCTGGTTATTTCTTTGTTTTCGCCCTCTTAAAGATAATAAAATGAACTAAACGTAAGAAATAAACTAACAATTTAAATAAATATCGATAAACATTTACGCATAATTTGACAAGTTGAACAAATAACAAAAAAGAATGCTTATATGCTTGACAGATTCAAAAGAAGTCCTCATCAATGTTGTAATAGAAGTTTTATGGGCTAAAATTAATCAATCAAGATCAACCAAGAGAAAGGAATACTGTTCGGCCGTTATTATTTTTCAGTAACCCAAATAACCTAGATTATATATTACAGAGAATATATTATCATAATTTGAAAAGAGATATATAAAACATGCAAAGTAACATTTAATATGTAATTGATTAAAAAATATTACATAAAGAAAGGTGCCCTCAAATGCCCTGGTACGGCCGGGAGTGGGAAGAGTCTGCTCTCCCTCTCCAAATGCTCTCATATGACCACGCGAATATATAGCCTCTGCCAGGGAAGTCCCACTCACACTTTTCTCGTGGTGGTGTGTTGTTTACGAAATTGAGAGGCCAAAAAGCTAAATTTCCAGCGCATTAACCAGGTTGGTGGACATGGAGGGTCCACCTAGGGGAGTTGGAAAACCCTGGTTCCAAACCAATGAGACACATGGGCTCTAGTATCCCGATGGAACAAATGGCGTATGAACCTATTGTTGATCACCGGCTTCCATGGGACTGCATCTCCTCACGATGCTCCACAGTCTTGTGGATCAGACCTTTAGGTCAAAGGCTCCGGGTGTGACCCCTTAAGAAAACCACCTGTTTCAGTCTGGGCACCTGGGCAGTATCACAGCCCTCACACAAATCAAATGAGATTTGTTAGGCACATATTTATCTGGTGCTTTTTTGTATCAATATTTATGTGTTTAAATAAATAAATAAACATAAAGAAAGGTAAGAAAAAGAAAAATATCTCCGCTTATTTGTATATACACGTAAAGAATGTTAAATAAGTCACCTTTAGGAAAAAGGGAGTCTGGTAGATTACGTAGAAATGTTTTCAAAACTCCACAAACAGCATGTAAATCATTCCATTTATCTGATGTTACATCGATTGTAGTAATGTCCTAAAAAAATAAGTAAAAAATCTCTGTAGACTTTCTTATATCATCATTATAATGTAAACAAAACCTTGATTTACATAGAATTTTTTTATTATATATCAACCCGTTAATCTAGTGTAATTCAGAAGAACAATTGTAATAACATGAAATAACCCTAACCCAATCTAATTCACACTGTAACGTCAATAACGCTTTAACTCAGCACCCTACAATTGAGTAAACAATAAAAATCAGAAGTATCCCTACAACTTCAATTGACGATGATGCATCGTAAGAAGAGTGGATATTTATATAAAATTTAAAGGTATATCTTTTCAACAGTCAGTTAATGAAGATATCAGTTCTAAGGCTACAAATCTAACTTGTGAAGTTTACAAATACAAAATGCTAACTTAGAATAATTGTTTCATTTTCTGATAAATTCAAGGAACATTGTGTTCCCCAACGGATATTTCCATTAATTTTTAGTTTTAATCTAAACAAAACTTTGTTTTACATATTATTTCTTTATAAGTTTCAAAGCTACAAACATAAGTACACATTTAAAAACATTGGTTGATAGTAGGTCGAAATATTTGTAAGTTATTTAATAAATAATTGAGAATTAAATTCAAATACATGAAATCTATTCACCAATCGTAGCACACCTCATATCAATATAATGAACTGTTAAGTATCTCCTAACCACTTCAAAAAAAAGAAAAAAAAACACGACTTTTTATTGAAATTCACTGTTACAGTTATGGGAGCACTCTATAGAGGATAAATTATACGAATACAGGGGAGTAGTCCAAAAACCTTGTCGAAACTCACTGGCCTATAAGTAAGTGATGTCATGTAATGTAATCACATCATAATACATCAGATAATGATGGAATTTTCAAGAAAATGTTATTTTAATTTTTAAGACTGAGAAATAACGTTGAATAATCACCTTCCTTCCTTGTATGATTGGTTACAATTATAGAAATATTCTTTCGACAGCTTCTACTTTACAATTTTAACAGATAATTCGGAAAACATAACATATCAAAAATTCAAAAACATTTAACAATAATATAAAGAACTAATTCAATGAGTATTGTTTGTTTGAATCTTCCCATCGATGTGTTAGGACTGCAACTGGTCAGTCTCTAATTGGCGTATGTGCATACTGTGCGTATTGCCTCGATATAGCCTTAATTGAATTTAAACTTCACCCCCATTGCACAAGCAAGTGGCTATCAGGACTCAGTGGCCGAGTGGATAACGCGATGGCGTTTGAAGCGAGGGTACTGGGTTTAAGTCCCAGAGTGAACATCAACTCTGAGATGCAGGTACATTCAGCTGGCGAGTCCCAAATAGGACGAAACGCGCGTCCTGGATTCCACTGCTAGCCACTATCCATCTCTGCTTACCATAAAGAACTAATATTACTAAAATGAGTAAAAAACGCTATTAAGATCTCAATTAGTATTAGAAGTTTACTAAAGATTGTTCAACTTGCAATATATATATATATATATATATATCAACGAGTTAATTTAGCTCAACAACCGTAGAAAACTAGGAAATGTTTGCAAAAATCGAGTTGCCAGAGCTGGATAGTTTAATCGTAAAGCTTACATTGTTATCCTAAACAGCATCTGCACAAGCTTTGGACGGATGTAGGATATGAGAATTACTCCACAAGTGATTAGAAGCTTTTTCTGATAACCCTAAATTTGACTAACTATTGTTGACACAGCCTGTCATTGTTTGTATATTTTGATTGTCCTCACTACTTCCCAACTCCTGAGGATTGAGCAATTATTTCATCATGGTATCGGAACCATCACAGCAATGAGCATCAATAAAAACACCCGGGAAAAAAGAACCCAGGACGTTGATGCCTTATGGTGGACGCTTAAATTTCAAACCATTCCATTGGCAACCAACAATTCACAGCTTCCCATTAATCCAGTTTCGAGCAACGACCATCCATAGCAATCAGTGATGTCTGTCTGACAGGGTGGTATAGTTTAGACATATCACCCCCTGAGCTCACATGGTACCTCAAGATCAAACGGTAGGTGAGAGATTATAAACAATGTGCACGATTAGAGGAAGCCGATTACACACTTTTATCAATATTCCAGCCCATATAACATTGTCTGGATCTGAGGCAAAAATGTACATATACAAATGATTTATGTACCTATAAACTCAGTTTGCCAAATAAAGCTTCCTAGTCATTCCATGGTCTTCTCGCTAGCATAGAGGGTTGGGCGACTTTATAGAGATTGTTTGTATCTGAATGGAATGATGGCTGGTATTAGACAGGAAAGTGTTGGCTACTTTAACCACATAATAATAAACCTTACTAAAACTATCTGATGAATGATATTTCAGAATGAAAGAAATAAAGATATGAAAACCACATATACATATATATATATTTATTAACGAAAATTAGTTAAAAATTAAACAAAAAAAACTATTGAAATGAATCAGAGAATGAAAACTAGAAGTCAATTCTTCAGGAAAAGATTATTGATATAATTTGTTAAAAACAAAATGTGTAAGAGTTTAAACACTTGAAACTATACTACAAACTAAATCAACTTAGTTTCAACGTGGTTAATTTGAAAAGTTATAACATTTACGTTATATATGCTTGGCAATAATCCTAGATGATCTCATTCATTTAAATTAAGAAGAACAACGATACTATGATACACCACTCAAAAATAAAACAACTCACTACATCAAATTATAGTGATCATGTTTCGCTGGAAAGAAATTAGTGATCAACAATAAATTTTAAATTGAATTATCAATAAACGATATTCTTTTTATGCACGCGAATAAACAACCCAATTATAGTGTTTTCTCAGATTACACAATTTAAGAACAATAACGATTGGTAAAACTTGTGATGGTGATTAAACGAAATTAATAAAAATTTTGAAATACAACTTACTCTACTTAATTCAGAGGTAATGAAGTCATGAGCTACCTTGCTTCCAGATAAACGATAAATACCGATACAATTAAGGCCATAGCGTTCGATTAGTGTGACACATAGTTCTACCACAAAAGGAACAAACTGAGATAAAAAGAAAGAAATAGTAGAGAAGAATCAAATAAAAAGACTGTGTAAACAAAGCTATAATAACAGTTTTAAAAAGAATCAATTTGAGAAGATAATAATGTTGAGAATGTAATTAAATATAACTTTTAGGTAAATGACTATTCGAATGTAAAAAAGGGATTAGGTGATGATAATCATTGCCGCTTTTATCGTATCTAGTCTCATTACTTGAAAAGACAAAAATAACTAATCAAACCCAGGTAACAAATTTTTATAACACAGTTTGACATACAAAAAAGGAAAAAAAGCTAATTATACTAATTGAAGTAGATAAAACAAGCTTCGAACCCGATATTCAATAGGTGAAACATTAATTGTTTTAATCACTGAGACACTAGTAAACAATATTAATCATATACGCATGAAGGCTTTTGGTGGAAAATGAAATACTCAACTGATCAGTGAAAAGTATGATCTGTAATCAATAACAGTAGAGTTCACATTTTTCAACTGTGAATCAATCTGACAGCGTGTTACTCCATTCTTCCGGTGTTATTCACATAAAATCGTTTCAATTTATTGATACTACAGATAAGATGTAATACTTCTGCTGTAGTGAATGAGAACTCAAAATGAGGAAAACCAATTTATTGATTAATGCAAAATCACAAAGTACCTCCGTAAAATATGAAAACCATGCATTGAATAAATTTTTTGCACATCATTTAGTTGTCCTATACATGTTTAGTGATTCTTCCAATCCTGTTATTAGTACAACTGTTTTATATTTCCCTTACTATTCTCTTCAATTCGATCTTCTGTTGGCAGATATTCTACTTATGATTGGTGCTACTTACTACTAGTATCTATCACCATAAGTAACATACACCACTCCCCTACTAACAATCAAGTATATCAATAACATAGTAATTTATTTCAAGAAGTTGAAAAAAAAGATTTCTCCAGAAAGTTTTTCTTTTGAAACATTTCATCAAAACAGAGAGAAAACATTTAATAGTATGAAATAGGTTATAAAGAAAACTCACAGGAGATAATGTACTTCTAGGACATTTATGTAATGGTAAAGGGTTACTTAATTGAATAGGCAATGGTATGAAAGGATGCTTAGATTGAACAAACAATGTGCATTCACTTCGAATACTAGTACTTTGAATTGTGATACCATCTGAGTTTGCGTCATGATCCATAGTTTCCGATACTAAAACAGTAAGCTGATTAGTTGCTTTATGTTCTCTCCTGGAGTGTTGATTGACTGATATATCGATAAAACGACCTGTTTCTTTGTTTGAATATTCATGGGGACCATCTGACAAATCTAAACGATAACATAGATTAACATACAAAAACTATTAATAATAAGAATATCCACAGTACATGCTAGGTTTTTATTAAGATATTCACTTTAGATTTTCATAAGTTGTAAATTTTATTATTCCAACTACACCTACAGCTCTTCTAGGGTTAATAAAGGTAAAAGACGACGCCTGGGCATAGGGTCACTAACAACATCCCATAGAAAACAAGCGCGTTAAAAAGTGCTAAAAGAATAAACAATTTAAACCATTTAAACTCTGCACTGCCAATTGAAGCATCATCATTCAGAAGAATTATGGCGCCTCATGGTGAAAGTCGGAATTCTTCAAAATTCACCACACCGGTGCACCTTCTAACAACCACGGTAACGATTAATATAGGTACATGACACATCTGGGCAATGTGAGAGACTAGGAGGACCAATCAAATGGCTAAGGAAATATGCTGCTGTACCCCGATCACGAAGAAGAAAATACTTCGCACACTCAGGGAGTTGCTCTGATGTTCTCTAAAGAAGCGTGTAAATGACTTACAAGATAGGAATCCAATGGATCCAGGATCATAAGAGCATCATTCATAAAAAAGAAAGAGGGTAGTACAATGAGATTTATTCAGTGTTACGCATTTAAACGGTGACAATAAAAATCAGTTTCACGAGGAACTACAGTCGATCTCAGTGAAGTATACAGGAAAGAACCTGACCATCCTGATGGGAGACCTAGTCTCCAAAGTCGGAACGAACAACATCAAGTACGAAGATATCACGAGAAGACAGGCATTGACTAAAACAAAGGAATGAAAATGGTGACCAATCTGAAAATTTATGTGCATTAAAAATATGGATATAGGTGGCACAATGTTCCATCACGAAAGCGTATACAAAAATACTTAGATCTCCCTAGATCACACTTCAGAAAACCAGATGGATCATATTTATATAACAAATATATTCACAGAACATGAGAACCAGATGAGGACATGAAAAGGCGTTAGATCAAGTTCAACTGGTGGTAACCAATATGAAACTGAAGTGAAAGAAGCCAAAGACAACTGGAGAAACTGCATTACAATGGTTTAATACAGCCTTCCTTCCACATATTGACAAACTCAACGAATTCAAGATAACTCTCAACAACAAGTTCAAAGCCTTACTAGATCTACTCAAAGATGATCAAACTACTATGAAAGACAAACTGGAAAGGGATCAAAGAAGCGCTAACTTCAACGTGTAGGAAACTGTCGAGCCGCAACAAGCATCATCATAAGGAACAGATCTCTATCGAAACCTTGGACAGGATTCAAGAAATGAAGAACAAGGGGACAGCAATTTACAACAATCGGACAAGAACAGAAAAACCCAATCCATAGACAGAGTACACAAAACAAGAGACTGAAAAGATGCATTATAGCCGACAAGCAGAAATACATGGAAGACCCAGCAGCGACAGTGGAAAATGCAGAAACAGAACGGAATATCAAACAACTATATGACACAACGAAGAAACCGGAAAGGAAATATAGTAAGTAAACTAGAGAGATCAGTCACGGACAAAGAAGACAAGACAATCACTGAGATTCAAGAACAGAGGAAAAGATGGGTAGAACATTTTGAAGAACTCTCGAATGAACTAGCCCCACTGAACCAACCAGACATCGAATCACCACACACACACACACCTTCCTACAGCTGTCACTCCACCAACGATCGATGAAACCGGAGTGGCCATCAGACAAACCAAGATTGAGAAAACAGGAGCACCTCAGCACACACCAGCTCAACAACTGAAGTCAGACATACAAGTAACTGCAAGCATGCTCGACGTCTTATTCAGCAGGATTTGGGAGGAAGAACAAGTCCCAACAGACTAAAAAGAAGGATATATCACCAAGATATCAAAGAAAGGAGATCTGAACATATGTCAGAACTACACACATACACAAGATATTATTCAATGTCAGTTGACCGGATACCATCAGCAACAGTCTACTGTAGGAGAGAACAAATCAGCTTTCAGTTGAAGAGGAAAAGATGTTGGGGGTGAATAAGACATACGTTGTGGAAATCGTCAAACTGCATCACGAGGAGGGTGCTAACTTGAAGTCTTGAAGGGAAAAGGAGAAGAGAAAAACCAAGGAACACATTGCGTCGGGAATTGGAAGCAGACATCAAAAGAACGAACAGCAACTGGAAAGGATTGTCCAAGAAAGAGTTTTATGGAGAATGCTGATGAGCGGCCTACACTCGTCTGCGAGGAGTAACAGGCGTAAATAAGTAAGTAATTTTTATGCCCCTATAAGAATAGTTAATGGTAACTTTGGCATTTATTTATGGACCAATATTACGCGTACATTTTTATTGTATAATTATTCAATAACTGAACTATTCATTTTGATGTCCCTCTTATTATAAGCTTTATTTTGACCCATGAACTATTATCATATGATTTACCATTTTTGAGTTATCCTCTGCATATCGATTACTATCTCTTTTATTCACAGCCACGTTTGGCCAAGTCTTGTACAAATGTTGTTTCATATTTTATGGTACGATGTGGTCTGTCTGTCTGGTATATAAACCCAGTATGTTTGTAACAAATGATTCATATTGCAAAGGCCGTTATTGGTGTTCTGGACTTAACTGGCTGGTCTAGGCAGAAAACAGGACTGATAAGTACTCAAGACTGCTCATACGGCTTTTGTGTATCATTGGGCTATCAATAAAATTCGCTGCTCTCTGATTGGCGGTGTTATCACGATATACATTAACAGGGCATCCAGACAGGCGATCACAAGATATAACAGTAATATTTCATTATTCTATATTCAGTCAGTGTTTAGCCTGAAGAAAAAGTGAATGTTTGTTCAAGCAATTAACTTTTTAACAAGTTATTAGCTCAGGATCTTTAAAATAGACGAAGTTCGACTCTATGGACATACTATTGAACTATCATTAGATTTATTCAGCATAAGTAGACAATCTTCACTGCAAAAGAAAAATTAACAGTTACATGATGTCAAACATAACGACTACGATGTCAAGTTGTTAAACTAATTAATATCCAGAGCATTTGAACGATAGAATCCGATTAACACTAAGGACTAAATAATAGGATACTGTTTGGTAGCCATTTAATAATTATTGATTTGGCCAAATAGTTTCAGAGGAAAAAATAGTGTAAATAAATGCGATTAGAGTTTAAAGGGGAGTAAATACGATAGTGACATAACAAAGTTACCACCAGTTAAAAGTGATGGAAAATAAAGAGGCCTGATAACAACATAAACTAACTGATAAAGAATTTTGAATTTCAAAATCCGTAACACTTATTGTTAAATTATTTCACCATACAAAAACTGACGATTATAATCTAACATATAGATCACATTATTTGTTTTGATTTTGTACCGATCAAGATAAAACTAAAAACATACTTTACGGATACTTTCGAATAAAATGTAATATAAACTTGGTTTTAACAAGAATTAAATGGTAATTACTAATGAAATATTGACCATTTACCGTATTGTAAAAGTGTTGAAATGGTATAGAAATGTAAGAGAATATAAATTCATGAGTTAGTTTAATAATTAAGTAACTAGGTCAAACAGTTATCCACATATCAAGATGTTTATTGGACACTGAATTCGGCTACTCAGATTTATGTGATGACTCCTTTGTTTGGAACCACTATTACACTTCGGGATTTAGAATGTTCACACCCTCTTTCAAACCCACTAATAAACACAAAGACCCAAAGTCACTCAATCTTGTAGCATGGATGTATTCAAAAACTATATTTATAAGCTGGTTCAGTCAGTCGGTCACAGTGTAGAACTTCTTACGTACGTACATCAGTTCGAGTTGCCATACCACATTAGCACAGAGATGCAGTTTTCGATTAAAATCCTATAATGGTAGAAGTAGTAAGAGTATAAGCAGCAATTGGAAAGATTGGGGTTTGAAGATGGTTATCAGTCATCGACAGTTTTCTATGCATTTTATAATTGAAAGATACTGAAATAATTTGGGAGGAGTGGAATACACGCTGGAACCAAATAAATAAAAGGTTCAGTTGTAAAAGATAGAACGTGCAAATACGATAGTACTGTGTTCATTCTTGTGAACGTATGAAATGATAATGAAAAAATGAGTAAGATAACTACATATTTATGTTTATCTGTACGCTTAAGTTATTAAATCACACACAAACAATCACCTTTATATTCATCGAATTAATTCGTAAATTTCGGATTTTTTATTATTTGGAACTCAAACTCTTTATAAGCATGCTATATTAACCAAGTCAATAGACTAAAACTAGAATTTCATGCAACTAGGTCCTTCGGTGAATTTAAACAGAGCAAGAACAACAAGGTTTGAAGGATAATCTTTATTTCTTACGTCGTCTCACTAATGTTAACATATTTCTTTGGTTTCATTTCTTATTATGTTGAGTGACTACACAATTAGTCATCAACTTCATTACTCTTACATAAGCTCTTTTATCTTGATTATGTTTATTGATAACTAGAACATTTATTCTACTCTACGTTACACTATTTCCCAACATATGAACACACATCGATCTTAACTGTGTTTATTCATACACTTTGTATTTTATACTTCGTATTATATTGATCTCAGTTACGATTTGAACATTTATCTAAACTTCACAAACTAAAGTATGTTAAACGTTTGTTTAGAATGATATTATTAATTATAATTTTAAACTATAAAATAAAATGAATTCGTTTTATTCTGTGAACTTTATCGTTCTTTCTCTGTTTAAAAATAAAATGTTAAACTAACGAAGTAAAATAGTCAGCATTAAGTCCACTCATGGAAGAATATATATCAATGTTATATACGGACGAAGAATAAGTGAAAGGTAACTGCTAGGAATTGTTTATGAACTATTATTACACATATTTCTATAGGATTACTATTAAGTAACTAGATTATATGTATATTCATATCTCTTTTATTATAAGCTTCCATTTGACCTACTAACTACTATTATACGATTTGCTATTATTAAATTATTCACAAATTATTAATTACATCTCACACTCACAGTCACTTGTAGCCCGATCCTGTATAATTGTTATTTTCTATTTTATGGTATGATGTAGTCTAACTTGCTTGTATATAAACTGTGTATGTCTAAAATACATGATTAATATAGAGAAGGCTGATATTGATGTTCTGGACTGAACCGGCTGGGTTAGGTCAGAAGCTACTCTCTCAGAATATTGAGCTGACTCTGGGTTGCTCTCAATAGTCAGTGTATTTTTGGTCTGGTCGTATAAGTCGGTGTTTCTAATAGGCGATTTAGTCACGTGATATATTAACAGGCCATAAGGTCATAACAATCAGTAGCGGTTTATTTACTGATTCCATGTTATGTTCAAGCTAGATCCAACAACAAAACAGTATTCAAAGTACCAAACTAAAAAAATATTATACTATAAACAAGAAAATATGATTTCGATATATTAACCATTTACTATCTGTTGATTTACTGTAAGTCTTTGGAATAGTTTATAAATCATATTACCCAATCAATAATTCCTTATATAAAACATCTACTTACTAGATGAATCAATATTAGAATTAACTGATTCATTAGATTCTAACTGCAAGTACGTCAAACATGGAGTTTGCAACGAAGGCGATGGTGAGACCGATGTGGCCAATAATAATGCGAGTTGACTATTATTATGGTTATTCTGCAAATGAGATGGTAAATTGAAAACGTTTTCTAATTTATTTGAAGAATTCATATTTTCAGTGGATGATTTAAGAGGAGAACTTATAGGAATATATTTGTTTTTTCCAAAACCATGGGATGAAGCAAATCTTCTCGTTGTTACGCTGGAACTTGAACGGCTAGTAGGATCACAAGATGCTGTTGCTGCACGTTTCATTCTAGTAAGCGCTTGATGTAAACGTCCACGACCGCGAGGAAGAGAAGGAAGAAATCTAAGCTCTTTAGTTTTACTAGGTTGTGCAGTAACATTTGATGGATCACATGGTTGGATGCTTGAAGTTTGATCACCTATAAAAAGTATCAGTAAAATATTAGATAATTAATTATGATTGAGCGATTTTCTGTTGTAAAATGATGACAAAGAGAAGCAATTTATTACAGCATATGGTAAAATAATTACATACACATCACAAGATTAAAAATAATTACGACCAGAATATAAAAATATATCGGGTTTTGGGTTCGATTCATATGGGCAGAGTCGTGGGTGTGTACTGTTTGGGATTCACATAACAGAACGAAGAGTCCTTCCAGAGCTACCAGGTTTTCAGTGGTGGTCTAACATTGATAGGTTCATGATTTCAATAAAACTCAACAATCTGCACAACCCCATACTGATAATATGTTCATTATTTAGAATCCTTATACTATTTATATATTGAGAAACAGATTTCATCATACAGAAAAAAACCCAAGTAAACTAATTATAAGCGAGTTTAGGACATTGAATATCACTTAGGTGATAGATATTTATTTCGTGCTCCAATTCAGGTTAGATAGTTCAGTGATTTGCTAACACGGGTAGAAATACGACACACTGGACACGAACTATCCAATGCTGTTGTAGCTCACCATATGATCAGTAGATAAACTGCTTACCATCATCTTTTCAATGAAAGTACTTTATAACTGTAGTAAAATACAGTGTATTATTGACCTGACTATTGTGTCTGGATGAATGATCTGACATTTACAGTCTACAACAGAGATAGTGAAAATGTGAAACCCGTCTGAGATGCTCAAAGATATGCGACAGCCCTACGGATCTTAAAAAGACGAAAACGACACACATTTTTGTACAATTAGTAAAAATAAGACAGTTTACTGCTTAGAAATGTTACACAAAACTCTTAAAACTTACTATTAATTGTCTTTGGTAACAATTGTTGAAGTTCTAGTAAGAAGTCGTTACAGACGAAGTCTAACAATATTGTGAATGAAACATATAATCAATAGTACTGAATGAAGCTGAGCAATAAAGTTAAAAAAACTACTGTTGTAAATGTGAATCATTGGATAGCAATTCGGTGTCTAGATGATTTCACACTCATTGTGCGGTCCGAAAGCCATAGGCTTGACGCTTAGTAAGATCGTGGAAGTGCACAAGCGAAAAGCTCCAAACTAGAACGAAACAGTTGTCGTACGCCTCTGTACTTTTGAACAGTTTTTGCAATTAATACTAGTCCATGAAGAAAAGTAACTTCAAAGTAAACGACCCTAAAAAAAGCCCCTCTCCACTTGATAAATTTACAATTTAAACAGCTGATGCAAGGAAGCAAACTCTCAACAGAACAGTTATGTAGTAAAATGTTACTTTCATTAAAGAAGTTCGGAGATGACAACAGAACACATTCAGTTTTATAGTTTTTCAGACAGCTGACCGCGTACTATTATAGGTTCGACTGAACCACAAAAACTTAAACAAAAACTTACCATTTGATTTACTAATATCACCATTTCCAGATAAAGCAGACTCTTGTGGTGAAGAGACAGAAACTGTAGCTTGTTTATGCGACTGTAATAATCCTTGAAAATTCACATACTCGCTAAGCTGCATACCAACTGATGCCGCAGCAGTTCCAACAGCTTTAAATAGTGGAGTTACACCAGAAGGTCCAGCAAGACCAAGACTAGATCGTCCAGAGGAAAACTTAGAACGCAATCTATGTGATGGCAAGCTATTTTGAGATGAATTTGCTGTGGAGTGTTTCTGTGAGATGTTAATAATAAAACAACATTAGATATTAAAACTATTGTAATGACCAGACTTTAGCTATATAATTTGAATCTTAACGCAATCAAAACACAAGAGTGAACCAACACTCTTCAACTGAACTTTTATTATGTCCAGCCCCCCCCCCCGAAAAACTTTCTGTTCAGCCTTTAAATTAATGGTATCATTACCAAGTTTTGATTTGATAATTTTGAATAAATTGAGCATTGGGTAGATTGTTATAAATAAATTAATATATTTATAATGGGAAGACAGTTAAAAGATCGTTACCTACTCCAGGCAACAATAAGGCAGAGAAAAATGCTAGTGTACTTATGCCACGTTTGAAAAGATTACGAGATCACCGAAAATCGGTGAACGGAACGAAGGATTAGCAACACAACAAAACAAGCTAAACTATTCCAATGAGTTCAGGCCCTCAGTCAGTTACAACGTAGAACTTCGTACGTACGTACATCAGTTCGAGTTGCCATATCACATTAGCACAGAGATGCAGTTGTCGATTCAAGTCCCATATTTGGTAGAAGTAGTAAGAGTATAAGTATTATGTGAAACATAAGGGTTTGAAGATGTTATTGAAGGAGTATAATACGGCGAAATAAATTTGGAAATAGAAAAAGGATACAGACATGAAGAATTCAGAAGATTAGAATTTGATAGAACACAAAGAGTGGATGCACCTTCGCCAATGCAAACGATTTTGAGCCATGTCATTCAAGGTCTCTAACCATCGGTTGCTGTCATCTCGCGAATCCCAACCATGTAGTCTACACCTACCAACACGGCCCAGTCCACTTGTCAGCGACTTCATGGATTTATGCCATGTTTTGGTCTGGCCGCCCCTAGCTTCCTTCCAACCTGCTCCTACACCATAAAGCATTGCACGTCGGGGCAGTCGGTGGTTGGGCATACGTAACACATGTTCCAGCCATCTCAACTGATCAAGTTTCACTACTTCATCAATTGATTCGCCATCCTTACTTAGTACCCGTTTCCTAACATCTGAATTACTTACCCGGTGATTCCAGGATATACGAGCAATGCGTCGAAGACACCTATGATCGAATACTAGTAGCATACGAATATCCTCTACTCTTATCGGCTATGTGTCACTGCCATAAAGTAGGACGGAACGAACTGCTGCACAGTAAACCCGTCCTTTTGTTGCTAGACGGATATCTCGCCTACGCCATAAGTGACGCAAGATGGCGAAAGCTAGACGAGCCTTCTGCATCCGTGCTGAGATTTCGTCACACACCAGACCACAAGGGCTGATGAGACTCCCAAGATAAGTGAAGCTGTCAACACGCTCAACTACTTCACTCCCTATCATTAGTTCAGGTGTCGATGCAACCCAATCGTGAAGTAACATATTGCATTTCGAGGGGGAGAATCGCATCCCAAATATGCCTGCTTTGTTGCTTGACTTTTTTTCAAAGAGTAGATCAGTGTGATGTGAACTACTTGTGCGGACAGACTAGCAGTATGTAGCAGGAATTGGAAGTAGAATGCTTACCAGCAGAAGACTGAAATAAAGAGAAGAGGAATGAAAACGAAGAGCGATCGGAATAACAACAGGATCAGAGGAATGATGAAGTATGTAAAGGAAAAATGAAGCAAGATATCCAAATAATTTATTTAATGAATGATTTTCATATTTTACAAAGGCACTGTATAAGTTTGCATAAAACAATAAATTGCTTTGCCGTACCCGAGTTTTCGTTTACTGCAATGTCATCATCTAAGGTATTTGACTTTGTTTCTAACAAATTGAGTCACTGCCAACCATTAAATTGTACATTTAACTAAAAGTTATAAACCAACAGTTGATAAATATATGAATGGAATAATTTAATCTCGTGACAGCGACTGTAACAATAAAGAAATATTAAAGAGATAGTATGACATCTATAAGAAACAGGAGTTCGTAAAAATAGACAAATAAAAGAAAAGCTTTGAAAACAATTGTCAACGTCCTGAAGGTCAATGAATTGTAATTGTTGACAAAGAATAAAATACGGCAAAAAATGTAACAACAAAGAGATGAATATTTGAAATAATTACCTTTTTAGACTCTTCACTCATTTTCCCTGGTCCATGATGACGAAAGATATTAGACGCTATCTGATGATCCGAAAAGCTAAGGTAACATGTTAAGTTTAATCTTGAACTGTGTAATACGCCAATAACTCCAGTTTCAGGATCCCAATTAGATGGTAAAGATGTACACGCTATCCCGGGCAACTCAAAAGCTGAATACCAAACAAAACTTTCTCCAGGCAATGGAATATGAATATGAATGGAATTGTCGTTAAGATCAGCGTGATGATTAGAAATCTGAATGAAACAAAATTCATTGTCGAAAAATACTGAAGTCAATAAACAACCTCATCATGAAAGATATCAAACACTATATATTACACTGTTATTCACGAGGGTTGATAATTATTGCATTATCCATATAATTGGTATGAATATATCAATAGGTTATGTAATGATAATAATTAAAATTGACCGACAGAGGAACAAATGATGTATACTCTATCACAAACAGAAAGGAAAGTTAACTGTTATAACTCATATTCAATTATACTATCGAAACTTAAACAATAGTGAATCAGACCCAGCGCTCTTCAACTGGATTTTTTGCAATGCCCCTAAACTATCTAGGAAACAAAAAAATGCTAAAATTTTACTCCCCACTCCAACTGATAATATACGAGAAAATGCGCGGGCATTTGCATATTTTTTTAAAGGTGTCTTTGAGAACCACCCATTCAGGAAGCGAGTTCCGTGGTGTGTGCCTTAACGACATGGGTGCAGTTTGCAAATTTAAAATGGAGATTATTAGTAAGTTCCTTTCTTTGGTTGATTCTAGTTGAATTTTCGGGAAACAATGCATTTTCCAACAGAAACCGCACCAAAAAAGCATGGGAGTCTTACGTACGAATACACTCGAAATAAAAAAGTTCATAACTTGACTATGCCTACAGAAATATTTGTTTAGTACCTAGTTTAGTGTAAATATTTAAAGATGACTGAATACATAGAGAGAAAAGTAAAGCAACAACGAAATATCTTCGATTTCAGTGTAAAATCAAACCACTATTTTTTACAGTGTAATGAATCAGTTAGTCAGTAATTTACAGTTCGAATATATTGTCAAATGAAAGAATAATCGATTAATTAAACAACTGCTATCCATTTTCCTCTTTCTCTCTCTCTTTCTCCACCCACCTAGCTACCTATGCATAATGTAGGATAATTAACCTAATATTGAACGATCAGAAAAAAGATCAATAAAGGAACATAGTGGCACCAAATTTCTGTGAAAACAAAACAACAGGTTCACTATTTTTTGCGTATTTTAGATAATATTTATATGACTTCTTAATTTGTAAAATAGTAGTGGCTATATAACTGCTGATAAACTTTCCCTTAACAGTGTAAAAGTATATCAAGTTCAATTTGGTTTAACCTCAGAGGAAAAAACGACTAGAGAGAAAGAGAGAGATTTGCTTACATTAAACCTGTCTATAGTTACATAAAAGTACAAATAAGAAGTAGGAACAAAGCATATGATAATGATAAAATTAAAAAAAAACGTGTAAAGCTAAGTATAAATGTAAATGAAAGATAGGAAGAATAGAAAACTGAAATTTACCTGACTTGAAGAATCATTCGCTCGTGTTAACACAAGTGTTTGACCTGATAACGTCATTTGATAATTATACCACACTAGTGATTTTTTAGAATCCTATGAAAATTCAACAAAAAAGAATCATATAAAAAGTAATGATGTCCATTTTTCCCCAGTTATATTAATAAATAATCAAGAAGTCAACTGGTCAGGCATCGATAACTAACTCAGGATCTAGCTAAAATGTGCAATGACCCTATTTGCCATACTTCATATTAGTACGAAGGGAGGGAAATAACTCAGAGTATCTGAGATAATGCGAATACAAATTACAGTGAAAATAGTCTAATATAGAAAGGAAAAACCAAATCAAATGACGGTGTAATATTACGTTTTAATATCTAGAGGAAGTCACAGAATGAATAAATTTGCGCTGATGCGATCAATTTTGGGCTCTGCAATTGTAGGCTTTCAACTAATGATAACGACTATCCCATCCGAAACCAAACTAGTAAATTTGTACCTAGGATATGAACGATAATCTTAAATCCCTTTACATGTAAAGATGCAACATAAGAATAAAGATTGCTGTCAACACGTATCGTCACAACTCATGAGTAAATAAACACAAGGATTACATCTGAGACAAATAAAACTAGTAAATTTGATGTAAAATTGTATGATTAATAACAATCTTATTTCTAATATGTGAAAATAAGTAAAAATTTCTATTGACATTAATGATATTAGGGTGTAATATAACTAACACGCTTTTGAATGAATGGGTAGGGAAGGAAAATGTGTTTCCAGATTTTAAAAAATAAATGCGGATTATACAAAACAATATTGGGTTTAGATTATAGTTCAGTCTGGAAACTTTTTTGGATGAATTAAGTAAAAAAACCTTCACCTAAGACTAGTGGAAATAAAGTTACGCAAGGAAACAAACATGACTAGTAATTATCAAGTTGTCAGTTCTTTATACTAAGCATATGATTCCACGTTTGACTTTCACTTTTATTCCTTCACCTTACATATATTTGTCCTACTATTGATATTCAAAACTTTTTGAGGTAAATACAAATCTACATAAAAAAAGTAATTCATCTATGTATCAATACCTTCATATTTTAAAATTAAATGTCTACTTTTTCACGAAAAATGAATCTACTAACTATAACATAACTTTAAAAAATATTAATACAGAAAGATTTCTTTGAAAATTATAAAATATTTGTGCAGAAATAATCAGAAATGAAAGTGACACCGTACTTATGTTACAACAAACTGAGCCTGATGAAAACTTGGAAAATATTGAAGTTATATATATATATATACTCCAAATACTACATTACTTAATATTCATTAAAAGAAGGGAAGTAAAAATACACATCCATTAAGTTGCAGTAACACGTGAACTGCCTAATATCGATCAAATGAGAGTTAAATAAAGTCATATGCAAGTTATATGACACAAACTCTAATTGTACAATGCTATTTACCCCCCCCCCACTCTAAAATTTCGAGTGACATGATATGCTTGAAAAAAGTTAAATATCATTTCATAAAAATGCGAATCAGTCGAAAATTAAGTATTCATATCACATCAGTCACCTAATCAGTTGCAATGTAGAACTTGGTACGCATGTTCATCAGTTCAAGTTGCCACATCCAATTAGCACGGAGAGATGACATTGTCAAAAATGTTCCAGAATAGTGGAAATAGTAATAGTAATAATGGTAATAAAAAAGATTAGGCATCGAAGATGCGAATCAAGACAATATAAATAACTGAAATTTTAAAATATTGTGGAGAATTCAGAAGCTTAGAATTTTGAGGAAGACAAAGAATGGATGCACCTAAATCAACGTAAAAAAATTTGAACCGTGTCATCCAATCCATATCACATAATTATTACTTACACATTTTTTAAAGATATAAAGCAGTGAACTTGACAAGCCTAGAAACTGGGATTGACAATATTTTATCTGTAATTCATTACACGTTACTATGATAATAGTATGAGACATTTATAGTGTTGACAGTCTCATGAAGACTAATTAGTTTTAAAAAACGATGGAACAACAGAGTACACCGTATCTTTTAATTGTTCATTTAGAAGTTATTAATGAAATGACGAACTCTATTGACGATTCTATTCCTGCTCATATTATAAGCAAGACAATTAACATTATTATTATTACCTTTATTATTATTATTATTATTATTATTATTATTATTATTATTATTATTATTATTATTATTATTATTACTTACCATATCGCTAATTCACCCCCTTTTACCCCCAATTTGTGTAACCTTACTCTTCAACTTATGCAGCAGCTCGCTCTTGGTGGAAAATCTGTCCTATCTAAACGATCTCCAGTCACTGTCTGGTTGAAAGTGAATGCTTCCACCGATTATGAATACTGAGGCAGTCTTTCTGAAACCACGTACGCCGTTCAAGCTGGCTTCCTTCAACGTTCGCACACTAATGCAGATCAGACAACAGATAGGGCTGGCTATGTCTTTGGAAGGTCTTAATGTTGATGTTTGCTGTCTATCCGAGACCCGTATTCAAGACTCTAGTGAAGTACTACAAATCCGCTCTCCATCTGTCTCCTCGAAAAGCTTGTTCCACGTGCGCTTATCCGGGGACCCTGTGGCATCTTCGTCTGGTCTTGCTGGCGTTGGTGTCGCACTAAGCGCTAGGGCTGAGGCAGCACTAATCGATTGGATCCCCATTAACAGTCGGTTATGTGCTGTTAGATTAGAATGTTCCATCAAAGTGAGAAGAAATCGGCGTGAGAAACGGTGTCTTTTCGTCATCTCCGCCTATGCCCCGACAGATTGCAGCCCGGATGCAATCAAGGATGAGTTTTACCATCAGTTAACAGTTCTTCTCCAGAAAGCGCGTTCGACAGATATTGTAGTACTAGCCGGAGACTTGAATGCACAGGTCGGGCGTCTAGGCACAGAAGAGAGTCGTTTAGGTGGCCGATGGGGACTTGTTGGTCGCAGGACAGATAACGGGGACCGTTTGCTGCAACTGTGCACAGACCACAACCTGTTTCTGGCCAGCACTAACTTCCGGCACAGTCATCGCCGGTGTGCCACCTGGCGTCCTCCCTCTGCATCCCAAGCCTGGACTCAGATTGATCACATCGCGATCAGCTACCGCTGGCGTGGTTGTGTACAAGACTGCCGCTCCTTTTGGAGTACCTATCTGGAGTCTGATCATGCCCTGGTCTGCGCCAATCTCACCTTACTTTTCAGTGGCCGAAGGATTGACCACCACCAACGGATTGATATTAGTAAACTGGCTGCAACTCCTGTTGCAAGTAAGTACCGAGCGGAGCTAGCCTCTAGGCTAGCTACCACCCCACCGAAAAGTATAGATGAGCATTGGTTGAATCTTCACGACTCCATGAAAATGGCGAGTAAAGCCGCTTGCGGCTTTGCGAAACGTCCCGCTTACAAGCACTGGGTTTCTTCTGGCTCCTTACAACTGATGGAAGCCCGTCGGTCTACTCCGGGTGACCGTGAGTTTGACCACAAACGAAGGCTGTTACGTAATGAAATTGGGCAAAGCTTGCGTAAGGACCGGGAAGCCTGGTGGTCGGAGCGTGCTAATGAGATGGAAGCAGCAGCTGCATCTGGTAACTGCCGGAAGCTCTTCCAACTCATCCGAGCCACTGGCAGCAAGAAGTCTGGTGTAAGTGAAACAATCTACAAGGATGATGGGATGCCAATCACTAACATCTCCCGACGTCTTGGACGATGGGCGGAATTTTTCGAAGGGCAGTTCAACTGGCCTGCTGCTCCGGCAACATCAACCAGCTTGTCCTGCCCCCCATGGCCGGTGACGACTGATCCACCAAACGAGGCGGAAGTCCGCAAGGAACTCCAACTCTTGAAGCGCTACAAATCACCTGGCCCAGATGACTTACCTCCGGCTCTTTTTAAAGATGGTGGTGACTTTCTGACTAAGGAATTGACTGTGTTGTTTGGAAAGGTTTGGGAGCAAGAAAGTGTTCCAACATCATGGAATGAGTCAATAGTCGTCCCTATCTTTATAAAGGGTTCACGTTGTTCCTGCAATAACTATCGGGGGATAAGTCTACTTCCGATTGCGTCCAAACTATTGGCTTCTATCATTCTTCGTAGGTTGTTTAAAACCCGAGAACGATTGACTCGCGAGGAGCAGGCTGGTTTTCGTTCTGGTCGAGGATGCATTGATCACATCTTCACCCTCCGCCAAATGTTAGAACACCGTCATACTTATCGCAGGCCAACAATCGTAGTGTTTCTTGATATCAGGGCTGCCTTCGATTCGTTGGACAGGACTGTTCTCTGGGATTGTCTATTGAAGAAGGGTGTGCCTGAGAAGTTCATTAACATCTTAAAGGCCCTGTACACGAACACCTCAGGCAGAGTGAGGGCATACAACCACCTTTCTCCCTTGTTCCATTCGAGCAGTGGGGTTAGGCAGGGTTGCCCGATCTCACCATTCCTCTTCAACTTTGCCATCGACGACATCTTGGAAACAGCTCTGATGGATGTAAGTAATGGCGGTGTGGATATGTTGCCTGGAGAACGACTTCTCGACCTTGAGTATGCGGATGATATTGTCTTACTGTGCGATAATGCCCAAGGCATGCAATCAGCACTTAATCAGTTGGCAATCAGTGTCCTCAGGTACGGCATGTGCTTTGCACCCTCCAAGTGCAAAGTACTTCTACAAGACTGGCAGGATTCTAATCCTGTACTCACCCTGGATGGTGAGCAGATCGAAGTAGTTGAGAAGTTCGTGTATCTAGGTAGCTATATAAGTGCTGGTGGTGGCGTGAGTGATGAGGTTGATGCACGTATAAGGAAAGCCAGATCGGCTTATGCCAATCTGGGCCATCTTTGGCGCCTTCGTGATGTTAGTCTGGCTGTAAAAAGTCGGATTTACAAGGCGTCGGTGAGAGCAGTTTTGCTGTATGTTTGTGAAACCTGGCCTCTCCGAGTTGAGGATGTTAGACGTCTCTCTGTGTTCGATCATCGTTGTCTCCGAAGGATTGCTGACATACAGTGGCAACACCATGTTAGTAATGCAGAGGTTCGGCATCGTGCGTTCGGGCGCAGAGACGATAATTCAATTGGTGTCACCATCTTGAAACACCGACTTCGGTGGCTTGGACATGTTTTACGAATGTCGTCCCAGAGACTTCCACGTCGTGCATTATTTGCCGACCCTGGGACTGGTTGGAAAAAGCGGAGAGGAGGTCAGTGTATGACATGGTGTCGTGGCATGAAAGAGAGCTGCAAAGGGCTAGCTTCTGTTGGTCCTTCACGACTCCTTGGTTGGGGTCCGAGAGATGGTGCAACACAGTGGCTAGAGACGTTATCAGATATGGCTCAGAATCGAAGCCAGTGGCAATCCTGCTGCAACCTTCTTTTACTTTCTACATAAAGTATGGTTCTTACTTTCCTATTTGAAAGAGTCTTCTGGTTGTACATTTTAGTCCGCCTTATCTTTTCATCCCTTCTCTTCCTACTTTCATTATTTTGTGTGGCGCATATGTACCTGGTGCCCTTTTGTACCAATATATATGTGTTTAAATAAATAATAAATAAATAATAGAAGTTATTAAACGATCGTGATATACTCAACTTTCAATCAGATGCATGTGCGCGAATTTTTTCCCATTGGTATAATGTGATATAAGGCGTATATTAATACACTTTTAGGAACTAAGGTATCCTTCTACTAATCACCACCCGCCCAACAGTATTAGATACATACATACAACAAAAAATAGTAGTTATTAGAAGTTCCACTGTTAATAATAATCTGTAATCTCTGAAATTGTGACTTCAAAAAAATTTGAATTAACGTTTCATACTGACTATTTATTCACTGTTCTCAACGGCTAGTTGTAGCTCTATTCACCTTTATTGCATCAATTATTTATTACCGAAATATTCACTAAACTCGAGATCCTCAATTAATTAGTATTTTCCCGATTATAGTTGGCACCTCGACACGCTTATCTGGGTTGCTCATTATGATGATCCAATCGAGCTATGTCGGGTAGGACACTTGATTTTTTATATTCTACTACAATAGGCAAAAACGTTGGAGAACAGAACGGCTAAAAGTGGTAATCTATTAATCCAAGGGAGAAATCGTACTATCGACTGTGCAGAGGTGTAGTAGTAATAGTAGTAGTACAATTTCCCATTCAGGCGACTAGCATCTGCAAAAATGCTGCGTTTTAACAACGGATATCAAACACCGAGAGTTAAGGCATTTAAACTCCAGAACTAACACATCAAAATGTAGTCGCAAAAGGACTGTGTGTAATTGGTCTTAATTTGTTGTCTACTGGGTTCTGAGGTTGCCTTGCTAGGTCGTCAAGACTACTACTAATCTAGCCTCCTTCTCAAGCACCTCAAGAAGTATCCCTCCATGGTGTAGGTAACCAGAAAGTAACAACTGCCCACACACCTCTAACAGCAATCGAACTAACTTTGAGGTATAAGACTACTAACAATAAATGATTTCAATGAGAAAAACCAATTAACAGAAATCAAGTGCATGTATGGTAAACATCTTCAAGTCAGAATATTTAAAATAAAAACAATCAACTTTGTCATAATATAAAACCCTAATTTGCAAATGTGAAAACAAAACTATAAAGAATAAAAGCTAACCTCTATTTCAGAATCATTCCAGTAGATAGATGCAGTCACAGGATATGACGGTGTATGAGAGTTCAAAATTTTTACGGATTTCCTATCATTCACATCAGTAGTCTGATTTGGAAAACAATCACATAATAAACTAGATCGTCTGATTGATTCAACAGAATGATAACCATGAGATCGTAGTTGTCCAACCTTAGGTGAACTAACAGAGTCATCTTTATCTTCATCTGCAAGTGCACTTGTGGACGCTGACGTTGGAGAACTGGTGTAGCCAATCTATTTAAATAAATTTGAAAAAAAGACTATTTAAAGTCAGAAGTAAGATCTAATAGGAACATTTTCGGTAATTAATGAATACTATAAATAGTTTTTGGTCAAGTAGCCGTTTTTTATGGCAAACTTTTCCCAAGATGAAACACAAAACACGCGATCATACGTCTACACATATATGTACATATATTTTTTTCTTAAGTATTATGAAAATACAAAATAACACTTAGTGGAAATGTTTCCATACAAATATAATTACATTACGCAGATTATTAGAAGTATATTAAAACAAGACGGTTCAGTGCGTAATAAAAATAATTCGGATGAAATGCCATGGATTGGTACTGCAGTTTTACCATACCGTCATGGCACAACAGAAGAACTCCAAAGAATCTTAAAACAACACAGAATTAAAGTACATTTTAAAACAACGAACACACTTGGAAGTACTTTAGTCCAATTAAAAGAAAAAATTCCATTCATCTCTATACAGAACTTAGTCTACAAATTAGGTTGTGTCGATTGAAGAGTCTATATATTGAAGAGTCATCTCGCGAAATCTTGACGTGTCAAAGAACATATTAGGCACACAAAGAAACCTAATAATCCTGTAGAACTGGATGGATTTCAAATTGAATCGGCAATAGCAGCTCACGCCATTTTCAACGACCATCAAATCGATTTCAAAAATATCAAAATATTACAAAAAGGCTTTTCCAATTACAAAGAAAGGATAGTAGCTGAAGCGTTCCATATGATACTTAATCCTACTTCTGTCAATAGAAAGGAAGACCTTGCCATACATCCTATTTGGACTATCTATCCTAGCCACCTAGTCGGATATTATTTACAATTCACACTATTACTTTACCAATTGGACTCTCTTCTTTCTCACCATAAAAATGCACAATTTTCATCCTTAACAGTGCACATATACATACATACAAATTTACATACATGTCGCTTATGAATCAGCTTGACCGTAATGACAGGACATTGATTTTTTCAGACCTGTTTTTTGATTGATCACATAATATTCTTATCGTTCCGTTGTACTATTTGAAAGTGGATTAATTTTAATCTGGTTATTTATTTTCTGAAGAAGTGGCATACAGTGAGTCACGAAACATCAAAAAATCTATTTTTTCTACTCATTGGGATATTACAATCATATTATTTATTTATAACAATCTACCCAATGCTCAGTTTATTCGAAATTATCAAATCAAAGCTTGGTAATGATACCTTAACTAAGACAGTTTTTGTGATTTCCAAACTAGGCATTGTCAGAAGCGAGAAGCACAGCTAGATGACTATCAGTTTGACTCGTGGTGTGATTGTATAGGCACATAATGTGAACACATAAGTTCCGAATTAGGACAAAATAGCTACTCAGTAAGTTTGTCTTCGTTTTGAATGGATTGTTTGGTTGACGTCATTTCATGATGCACGTTAATCTTAAAAAGGAATGAACTTATTCGATGGGAATTAAGATATGATATCGAATGCAATTTCTTTTAGAAATATTATTGATTCTTTACAACTGTGGTACGGCAAGTCTCTAATTGCGAACGACTGAGATTTTTTTAATACGAATGAGATCTAATGTGAGCTCGATAGACCTGAAGACTGGTACACAACACTTTGATAATAGTCCTTAAGGTGCTGGAAGACATGAAAAAATCAAGTGATAAGGAAAACCTGACATTCAAAATGAATAGTCAAAGTTGTGATGGAACATCTATGTAAATATGGCAACAAAGAATAGCCTTAAGATAGCAAAATTATCAAACCAAAAGTAGAGGGTATAGACGTTTACGTAACTGAAAAATTAGTACAGTCTAGTAGCTCTATAGGGTAGCATGTGAATAAGGATGTAAAGCGAAATCCTGTTGCACAGTGTGGTATAAAAATATCAGAAGTCAATTGTAAAAGAGATGTATTAGATTTGGGAGGTATAATACTATTCGGATTTCTAAAGTGGAAGATATGCAGTTCAAACTTAACTAAATAACTGGTCATATTTCTTGATAAAAAATATATTACACAGAACAGTGATCACGATAGGATACAAAATAAAATGAAATATCGAATGATACTCACTGAATCACCAAGAATGTGTCTAATACGCCGAAGATGTCTAACGGTTCGAACTATTTGCGAACTTGGTACATTGTAAAGATTCAATGGTTTAGGATGAGGTAAGAAGGAATCAGCGGCAGGGCTATATTTTACAATGAAAGATTTGAAAAATATAGGTGAACATTTAAATTTACACAGGAGAAAATTATTTCATGGTAACTTTAATTTAATAGGCAATTATAAACAAAATGAACCATTACATTCATTATCGTTACAATAAAATTTTTTAACTGAAATAAAACTTTCGACGAATAAGAAATTTCAATAGTTGAGATCATGAGTCAATTGAAGCTAGACCACTATGGAAAACCTGGATGTACTGGACATTAACACCGTTGGATGCCGGCTCTGTGGTTCTAGAGGTCAAGCGCTCGCGCGTGAGACTGATAGGTCCTGGGTTCGAATCTCGCGAGGCGGATTGTGGATGTGCACTGCTGAAGAGTCCCACAATAGGACGAAACGGCCGTCCAGTGCTTTCAGGTTTTTCATAGTGGTCTGGCTTCAATTGACTCATGATCTCAACTATTGGAATTACTATAATATCCACAAAACCCCTTCTGATAATAATAAGAAATTATTAATGAAGGTCCTTGAACAAAGCTTATGTGGCTTTCATTGCCCTTCACCCATCCCTTCTAGCTTTTTAAATACCCAGGGAAATGGTCGTGACATATTTAAATATTAAGCCGAAATGTTATGGAACAATTCCACGGAGGTTATCCCAGCATCAACAAAATGAAATGGTTGGTTCGGAGTTATACTTATTGACTTGCAAAGGACCAGGATATCGAAATATCAATATTCCTTTGATTGTTTGTAACTTGAAATAAACTGTTCTCACAGATAAACTATTATAGTGTTTGAGGCAAATAGTGAAATTAAGTAACAAGTAAGGTGTTGTTTTGTAATTCAATATGAGATTTTATTGAGGAACATACTTTGAGTAATGACTTTTATGATCACCCTAACTAACAACGAAAACTGTTTGCTGAAAAAGAATAGATTCTAAAATCTGATATAAAATGTTCGCCAAAAAAGAATCGCAAATAAAAGCAATGATTAGAAGAAAAAAAAACCTATGAAGGTTTGACAACAGTCGTTTATTCATGAAGATTTAAATAAACCACCGGTCTGTTCAAGAATATTATGCTTTGTAGTATTGTATCATCTTATAATACGCACTATATATATATATATATATATATATATATATATATATATATATATACCCACATGTCCGGAAATCAATAAAAAAAACGATGAAACCCTGTTGCTTATCCATAAATAGTAACAATAACACTACCCTCATCAACAACAAACGAAATGGAATATTGTAAAAAAATCCTCTCTATCCTAGAAACAATTATAAAATAAATGAAAGTTCTTTTTTCGAGGAAAAATGTATGAACGTAAATAACACAAGAGGATCAGATGACCAGTCAATCGACAAGGGGTTGAAAAAAGAAAGAAAGAGGAGAAAGAAAAGAAAATTACAGTCAATAAAACAGCAAAACAATGCTAACAAAATGGATATATATATATTAGTTTACACAGAGAATGGAAATACTTGAACTATATTTCTGAGCCGATACTTCTTTTTATGAAATATTTTCTTTTTAAAAAATTTCATCAAGAATACTATTGCCAAACTAAGCTGTGCAAGTCTATTCCTCAACTACACACAATATACCATTGGTTTTCAATAACATTTATTGAAATTACATTTTAGCTAACATTTACTAAGTTGATCATCATTTTATGAGGGTTGGTGATAAATACTGTTACTATCCGGCTGCCGAGATCAATTTAAGTGAAGTAGAGTTGAAAACTATAGCTTACTGATTAGCATTCACATTGTGTGAACATCGAGCTACAACTTCAATACCAATGAATAATATAAATATGTGAGGAAATGGCAAGAACTTAAAGACTTTATCGTTGAAAAAAGTATAACTCAGAAATTCATCAAGCAAACAGTCAGTAGACTGGTCAAATTAAATATAACTGTAAAGATAACAATAACCAGATACGATTTTAAATCCTCATAAGTCTTCATCAATATCAAATTAACAAGAAGCAGTGTATAATATACAGAAAATAGAAAGTGAGGAGAAAAAGGATGAGCGGAGATGAAGAATAAACAAGTATGGAAGAATTATTATATAGAAGAAACCAGTTTGAAACATATTAATTGAAAATAAACGTCACACCATTTGTAATAATAACTCGAATCCTCCCATCGATGTTTTCGACTGCAATTGGTCGGGCTGCAACACAGAAACATCCAACTGACGAGTGCCAAATAATATGAGACGCTAGTCCTGGATTCCACCGCTAGCTATCACCCATTTCTGCTAATAATGTTACCCGTTTTCATAGGCTGATAAATCTTAGGAAATATCAGACAACTGGAGAAACTGCATTACAATGGTTTAATACAGCCTTCCTTCCACATATTGACAAACTCAACGAATTCAAGATAACTCTCAACAACAAGTTCAAAGCCTTACTAGATCTACTCAAAGATGATCAAACTACTATGAAAGACAAACTGGAAAGGGATCAAAGAAGCGCTAACTTCAACGTGTAGGAAACTGTCGAGCCGCAACAAGCATCATCATAAGGAACAGATCTCTATCGAAACCTTGGACAGGATTCAAGAAATGAAGAACAAGGGGACAGCAATTTACAACAATCGGACAAGAACAGAAAAACCCAATCCATAGACAGAGTACACAAAACAAGAGACTGAAAAGATGCATTATAGCCGACAAGCAGAAATACATGGAAGACCCAGCAGCGACAGTGGAAAATGCAGAAACAGAACGGAATATCAAACAACTATATGACACAACGAAGAAACCGGAAAGGAAATATAGTAAGTAAACTAGAGAGATCAGTCACGGACAAAGAAGACAAGACAATCACTGAGATTCAAGAACAGAGGAAAAGATGGGTAGAACATTTTGAAGAACTCTCGAATGAACTAGCCCCACTGAACCAACCAGACATCGAATCACCACACACACACACACCTTCCTACAGCTGTCACTCCACCAACGATCGATGAAACCGGAGTGGCCATCAGACAAACCAAGATTGAGAAAACAGGAGCACCTCAGCACACACCAGCTCAACAACTGAAGTCAGACATACAAGTAACTGCAAGCATGCTCGACGTCTTATTCAGCAGGATTTGGGAGGAAGAACAAGTCCCAACAGACTAAAAAGAAGGATATATCACCAAGATATCAAAGAAAGGAGATCTGAACATATGTCAGAACTACACACATACACAAGATATTATTCAATGTCAGTTGACCGGATACCATCAGCAACAGTCTACTGTAGGAGAGAACAAATCAGCTTTCAGTTGAAGAGGAAAAGATGTTGGGGGTGAATAAGACATACGTTGTGGAAATCGTCAAACTGCATCACGAGGCGGGTGCTAACTTGAAGTCTTGAAGGGAAAAGGAGAAGAGAAAAACCAAGGAACACATTGCGTCGGGAATTGGAAGCAGACATCAAAAGGATGAATAGCAACTGGAAACAAGTGGAATAGATTGTTCAGAATAGAGTTTTATGGGGAATCCTGGTGTGCGGCTCATGCTTTTCGAAGAGGTGTAACAGGAGTAAGTATGTAAGCAACATGTTGATAAGCTGAATTGAAAAAGAACGATAAACTGCGACAACTTACCCTTCAGAAGTGGAAATATATTGGGATGATGTCACAGGTGCTGAAGATCGCAGAGAAGGATTCACATAACTTTTCTTCGTTCCTGGTCGATTTACTATTGATGGAGACATTTCTGTAGGACTTGGTGAAGACGCTACCGTAGGTAAATAAAATAGATCAATTATGCATCACTTGTAACTTTAACATTCAATATGCAAGTAAGGACAATCATTTTCCTAAAATCACCAGGTGCAAGGAGTAAAAATGCTTAATGTAAAATACTAGTCTTGTATGTTACGAAGGTGTTTTTATGAACCAACCAGAAATAAAGTAGTCTCAGACATTAATACGTGTTGCATCGAAAATAGTCTTGAGTACACTTGTTGACATCATATCTGAACAATGCACAGATTTGAAATACCCTTTACGCTCAACAGCACCTAACATACTCAACAAGTTTAAAGTTTGACTACCTACTATAAGTTATGTATGCTAATTGTCTCCTTATAAAGCAAAATACGTACATTAAATCAAAACTTCATTCTGCATTTTAAACATCAAATATAGTATTTATAGACAGATAAGTAAATGTAGTTATGAACATATCAGCGAGTATTCCTTACTTGAACAAGGAAAGACTGATTCAGGTGTTCTATTTGTCTCCAAATCTGAATATGTAGTTGAAATATTCGGTTCAGAATTGATGGTGGGCTTTGTACACAAACATGAGTCATCTCCATCCGATAATACAGGTGAAGGGACGTTTAAATTAGAGATTGTAAGCGTGGACACTACAGGAACATAAGGACTTCCGGTCATCCCCATTCCAACATATGGTTGTGGAGAACAGTGCATTCGAATCAAACTTGAAGGACTGTACACAGTCGAACCAGCTGCAGCTCGAGTAACAATATTACCTGGTCCCAAACGAACTATATCTGTGGCCGCTATGTTGTATGCAACATTTGTAGAAGATAAAGGTGGGGTATTCGTTGAACTAGGAACACTTGAACATGAAAAGAAAGAACTTGATTGGGAATGAGATGACACAGTATGTTTCACGTTGGTGGGAGACGTACAAGCAGATACCGATTGATAAGGCTTGGTTGAAGGAATACTTTTTTCGACCGGATTCGAATCCGAGTTTTCTGACACAAGATTTGGTGAACCAGTAGCGAAAACAAGTCCGCCAACACGAGTCATTTGAGCAGCAAGGGAAACACGACTACTGTTAAGATGATGCAACGTGAGTAGGTTATCACGAGATGTGGTGCACTGCGATAGACGAGGATTGCAATGAGCAGTATGGGTAGGAGAAATAGGAACATGTGATTGGTCATGAGCAGCAGTTGTACCGGGACTTCGAACAAGATTAACAGATTGGCTAGAACTATAGCATACAGGTCTTCTAGTCCCTCGTGGAGAAACACGACAAACGTGAGGGTAAGGAGAAGTAGGATGAGTGGTTGAAAAGTTCGTATTCCTTGAGTGTGAAAATCTGTAGTTGGGATCTGGTACCAAACGTTTCTGATTACAGATGGTGGATGATTGATATAAATAGTGCCCAAGTTGATTAGTTTCTGAGGATCCTATTTGAAGCAGTTGATCAGTTGTAAGCCCACCATCGATAGCTAGTCTTGCAACTGCACCTAATTGAGACTCGCATGAACCAATAACAGGAGAACAGGTAGAAGTGTGCTTTGGTTTGTAATTTATTTGCGGACTAGGTTTTTCGAGGGAGCTGTTCTTTACATTAACATTGCGTTGTGACTTCGCAGTGTCTGGAAATGAGCGATATGCCTGTCTATGTATTATTCGCAAATTCTCATGTTCTGATTTGTCTGATGAGAGTTCAGTAACTAAAAACGAAGACGAATGATGTACTAAACGTTGAGAGAGAAATACATACACATTTAAATGAATAAAAACTATTAATAAACCAGCATGATTTCTGAAAACCAACAATTTAAACTAAACAATAGGTTGGTATGAATCGGATTAAAATAAACATAAAATGGATTCACAAAAGAAACTAATTCGTGAGATGTGATAGAGATGCTATTGCTAATTCATTGAGGTTTCCTCACGTGGGTTCGAATCCCATCCCCGTCGCCACTGATAAGTCTTGTTGATTGAGCCCTATACTCGGATCCTAAGCTAGTCTAGTAACCCCCAAGCTAGAACTACACAGAAACTTGAACACGAGAGAAAAGGCGCGAAATATGTGAGAAGCACTTTACTCCAAAGGTTTATTTATGTACAGAAAATATAGGGTTTTTATAGTATTTTAGAAGTCCTTGGGTTTTCCTGAAAATTCTGGAATGCTACTAAACATAATAGCAGTGTAGTAATCAACCAATCAGAAAATCTACATGTGACTTTTCATTTTCGTGGTGTTTCTGGCAAAACTTCTAGTCAAACGCTGATTGGATGAAATGCTTCTTTATTTTTCCTGAGCTTGTCATGTCTATTGCGAGAAATTTTCAGGATCGCCCCAACAACAACATACAATCAGCGTAAAAAAAATACTGTGGTGAAACATCTTAAAAAACACTTTAGATGGCCTAAGGTTAAGCGACATTTCCTCAGTAATCTAAAAACTTTTCGAGCAAAGAATTAAAATCGGAGTTTACACACCAAACAAACCTCAGAAGCATGCGACGAACTACGGCAAAGTAAACAAATATGTTCTAAAATCTATAATGATGATCTCAAATCTCTAATAACATTAAATGAGATATTTACTCACGGTATAAAGCGTTGAGGAGAGATCAAGAATAACATTACGAGTAAATTCAGCATAAAATTCGCTGAGTATAACATTCAATTGTATTCTGAGAATTTCAATTATGGATTCACTCAACATGACAGTTGGTCAATACAACATTGTCTTCAGTTACATTTATTTTAGGTTTGACTAATAATCCTTGAGAATTAAATCCATACACAAATGAGTGCATTGAGATGTTTCGGAAATTTAGCATGCATGTAAAATAAATTAATCCACTTTTTATGTTCTCTCTCTTGAGCCGAGTCATACTCCATCAGCATGTTTTCACGTGGAACAACTGTGCGGCTAGTATCAAGGGACATATGGAAGTGCTTACAGGTAATATTTAACCAGAATACCGAAAAGGAATTAGTTTTCCCCTTCTTATCGATGAAAGGTCAGGGTCATAACAGAATGGGTAAAGAAGAACTAAATATGGGATGGATACGCAGTATTGTTAGTAATCATTAACGCCTGTTTAATTGTAAACAGGGTGAATGTGGATTTGATTTATAAGTTTAAATACATACATAAAACAAATTAAAAACGATCGGAATCGACTATTAATTTCTGTTTATTTTGTAAATTTCCAAGGGACTCCTGACGTATATTCTCCAAGTAATAAGGAATTAAAATTCTTAACAATAAAGTATTCGTTTCACAGCACATAAAACATTAGTCATTAGTGTAATAAGATTCTAAATGTATGAGTGAAATCCAACGGTATATGACGCAAAATTACTCACTGGATGATGATACAACTTTGCCTAAATGTTAAGGACATTATTGGACTGTAACTTAAAGGTTCAAATTCAGCTTTATCTTAAAAGATTTTGGCAATCGGATGCTATTGCTAGTTTTTCTAAAATAAATACACTGCACAACATACTTAATAAAAATATTTAGAGTTAGAGCTCCCTTCACTCCTTAATTAAGCATACGTATATATTGGAAGTGGTAAGTCAACGAGACCAGAATAACTAATGGAATTGGAATCAAAATAATCTTGAAAAGAAAGGACTGACAGGTCAAAAATCAACTTTCCAGTAACCTTTAGAACTGTACCGTTAAAATTTGCAAAATGTTTGTTCAATTTGTGAAATATACTGTCCTGCAAACAGTTAAAGAATCCCACCACAGAGTTGTCTGAAAAACAACTTGAACTATGCGTTTGTACTTTCCAAGATAGTTAAAGAAAAACCCCGTCCAAATCATGAAAGGTGTGACTTATTAAATTATTTTTTTAATTTGTGAGATTATTGCTTTCTTGAGAAAACAGACTATTTCACGCAACTTTCTTTCATTAAATTTCAATCTACTAAATAATTCATTATGCCCTGAATGTGTCATTACTCTACCTGATTAGTTAGTTCATGGGAGATTTCGTCCGCCTACATGATTCAACCCAAATACTAGAAAAATTAGAAAGTCAAGGGAATGAACCCAGATGTTTAAGGGATATTTTATTGTAGAGATAAAATTTGAAAATCATAGTGATAAGCGCAATACGACAAACCAATAGAACTAGCTATACAGAATATTATGGTTTCAGGAAAAAATGAAAAGTGGTAAGGTATTTTTCAGTTTTTTTATCACAGTTTTAATATATATGTTTAACAGTAACAAAGAAATTGACTTCATCCAAATGATGATTGCTTACTGACATCACTGGAATTTATTTCCAGTAGCGAAAGAGTGATTTATTGTGAGAAAAGTTACTCTACTTGTTTATATATATATATATATATATATATATATATATATATATATATATATATATATATAATGAATCAAACTGCTTTACCTTTATTGATTGTTTGACAAATTGTTTTGTTACCAACTTCTACTGGGAAGGAACAACATATTTCACCACCATTATCTATCACTTTCAGTTTCAGTTCACCGGAACTAAAATGTATGGAAGTAGATTATGATTAGGACGAAAATTATTTTAATCAAAAGAATACAAAAATATAATAGTTCAAAGTAGTTAGTGGGGATATGACTATCGTGTTGGTATGTAAGTGACAAATCGTAAATCATAAACTCAAAACCTATTCTATCTATCAACGTTTAAACAACATGATGAAAATAGTAATAGTATTCGAGACGTAGAAATAAAAGCCAGAAAGAAGACAATCAAGAGATGAAGTGTACGAGGAAATGTTACACTTAACATTTGTACGATAGAGAATGAATCCTTTTAGTTTATATAAAATAATTTTCCAATTCAGTCAGTCAGTCAGCTACAACGTAGGACCAGGCACATATATGCATCGGTTCAAGTTGCCATACCTCTTTAGCACATCAAGATGAACACCGGATTCATAGAAGCAATTAATTTAGTGGTGGTAGTATATAAAGAAAGATTGTATAGAAGGATATAGTATAGGAAGAAAAAAAGTTATGAAGCAATTTTAATCTCAAGGTTTAAGGGAAGATAAAGAGTGTATACACCTACGCCATTGTGATCGATTCTGAGCCATGTCACACAGAGTCTCCAACCATTGGTTACGATAGTCACGCGGACCCCAACCAGGTAGTCTGCATCTGCCAACATGGCTCAGGCTAGAAGTTAGTGACTTCAAACACTGATGCCATGTTTTGGTTTGGCCGCCCCTAACTCTCTTCCAACCGTCCCCAATACTAGTCATCATAGCGCGTCGTGGTAATCGGTGTTCAGGCATACGTAACACATGGCCCAACCATCTCAGTCGATGAAGATCCATCACCTCATCAATTGATTTACCATCGTTCCCTAATGCCCTGCGTCTAACCTCACTATTACTTACTCGGTGATCCCAGCAGATGCGAGCAATATTTCTAAGGCATCTGTGGTCAAATACTAGTAACCTACGAGTATCTTCTACTCTTAATGACCATGTTTCGCAGCCGTAAAGTAGAACAGAACGAACTGCTGCGCAGTATACTCGTCCCTTAATTGATAGACGGATATCTCGTCTTCGCCATAGGTGACGTAAGTTGGCAAAAGCCAAACGAGCTTTTCGAATCCGTGCTGAGATTTCGTCAGACACCAACCCATTAGGGCTGATCAGACTTCCAAGATAAGTGAAGTTGTCAACGCGTTCGACTACTTCACTCCCTATCCTTAGTTCGAGTGTTGACGCAGGCCAGTCCTGGAGTAACAATTTACATTTGGATGGGGAGAAACGCATCCCAAACATCCTGGCATTATTACTCAGTTCCAACAGAAGACTCTGCATTTTGCCAGCGTCTTCACCAAACAGGACTATGTCATCTGCGTATTCTAAGTCGCTTAGTGGTCCCCCTGGTAGGAGATCAATTCCTGTAAACTCAGTCGACGAGAGTGTCATTTGCAGCAACAGGTCTATAATGAAGTTAAACAAAAAGGGGGATAGTGGACAGCCTTGACGGACACCACTTGAGGTTGTAAAATCAGATGACAGTTCGCCATAAGCTCTCACTCGACTGATAGTGTTCGAGTAAAGAGCCTTCACAAGGTTTATGTACTTCTCAGGTACACCTTTAAATGACAGACACTGCCACAGAACCTCTCGGTCTACAGAGTCAAATGCTGCTTTCAAGTCAAGAAAAACTATCATTGTCGGACGCCGATAAGCATGTCTGTGCTCTAAAACTTGACGAATGGTGAATATGTGGTCGATACAGCCACGACCAGGTCTGAAGCCAGCCTGATTTTCTCGTGTTTGCAGTTCACGAGTTTTAGTTAGGCGCCTGATAATTATTGAGGCTAGTATTTTAGATACTATGTTAGTCAGACTAATCCCTCTATGGTTATCGCAGGATGATTTTGACCCCTTTTTATATATTGGGACAATCAGTGATTGTGACCAGTCGGATGGGATTACATCCGTCTCCCAGATTTTAGCCAGAATATTAGTCAACCTAATCGCTAAAATTGGATTAAACATTAAGAGTATCTTGCAGACCCCAAACAGAAACTTTTTACCTCAAAACACAGATCACATCAACAATTAATGAATACATTCACTTATCCCATGTTAGGGTTTGCCGCAGCCTTTATTTTAAACAACATAAGTTAAGCATTGGTCGTACATGTCCTAGGGATTCAAGTAAACGTGATTTTTTTATTATCTCAGTTACCAAGTACATATTTGTGTACTCGAATTCGGTCCACACCCCAAGAGTGAGAACCAGTGATACAACCGGGTTCATCGAACCAAAATAGGTCCACAACCTTGTCAACCGACCGACTATTTTAACCGGTTAATCAAAATCAGAATTCAGAATAGCTCAATACGTGATTTCCTTCTACATGGGGGATGCTTAAAGGAGACTAATGACTAGATACTAGCATCCTACATGCGTCTTGTGCTTTTATAAACCAGACTTTACAGCCATAAATAAGTACAGTACAAACTCCATCTTTGATAGGTAGACACAAATCCTTCCTATACTATAAGTGTCGGAGTCAGCAAAAGCTAAATGGTTTTTCTATATCCAAGCTAAGATTTTGTCAGCCCTCTCCTGGTTGGAGACAGCCAAGATAATTGAAGAGTTCAAAGCATACCTTTTACGATCAGACTAGGTCACAATGCATACCAATGCTGAAGTAATATTTCTGATTCAGTAAGAGAAAGATGTATATTTTTCGGCAGTCGCTAAACGGTACTACGTCATCTATGCACTCGAATTCAGTGAATACTCAAATAGATGGTTAATCTCTGAAAAAACAATGGCAGTCTCCTAAGGAAGTATAGCAATGGTAAGATTCACTAAAAATGGAAAGTGGATAATTTTGACAAACATCACTTGAAGCAGTTAACTTAGAAATCAGTTGATCGTAAGCTCTGAATAAAGCAGTAATATTTGGGTAAATATTTACGTACTTCTTTGACCAGTGTTCCAGTGACATACACTATCACTATCCCAGTATCTAAAGAACGATAAAGGCTTGACTGGTCAAGCCACTTTCACCATGTCAAAAATAAAGCTAGTTGGAGAACAGTCAAACACCACAAAATGTCAGTCGTGCGTATCATGATAATTCTGAGTTCTAACAGTGCATTTATATAGGATAGCAACAGACATGTAAGAACTAGAACATTGACCAAAATTTCCCATTATAGTTGTAAGCTCAACAGTACATCTACAGTACCAAAATTAACATAAATGGTTATTAAGTCTCAGAAAAATAGCACAGGTTTTCTACCAAGATAAGTCAAGTAAAGAAACACACTTAGATTTTTCAAGACGGTTTCTGAAAGGGAATGGGTCGACAGTATAGCATTTAATAATTTTTAATGGTGATTTGGTATAAAGTGCTAACACTTAAAACGAAAATGTTTGTTTCGGAATGAGGTTTCAGGAGACTGGAGATGTCATTTATTGAGATTCAGGAGTTGGGAAAGGCTGCATATAACAGAAATACAAACTACTGAAGTGCCGAACAGAAATAGAAAACACGGAGTTCACCTACTCTTGTGGAGCAAGATGTATTGAGGGTAGCTGGCGTCTGCCTTTAGCCCGAATATGAGGACATGTCTCAGGTTGGTTATAACAAGCGAAAGAGGAAAACAGTAGAGTTCCATTATTGAACACGGAAGTGGCTGTGATCCCTCGACAAACTCACTTGTTAATTTTAAGGTTGCTTGTAGGATCTATCTGAATCTACTGAAAAATTCTTACTCTAACTCCCTGAAAAGCAGAAGCCTTAGTTATTCATGAGGTGAAACCTGGACTTTGTATACGAAGGTATTCCTTATCTTTATATTTATCATGAACTCAATCCATTACTACTTTACTATTATTCAGTAAATTTCATATTTGGAAATATTCCTCTTTCTACATTTATCTTTTATTTTACGGATATGCTGTAACCGAAACGATAGTCACAACTATTATGTTTCTCACAAACTCCGTTTTCATTTATTTGAACATAAATATTGGCACAAAGGGTCATCGAATATATATGCACCACAAAAGTCATTTGATTTTTGTGTGGGCTATGATACTGCCGGGGGTCCAAACCGAAGCGGGTGGTTTCCGTAGGGGACACATCCCGAGCCTTCAATGTAGAAGTTTGATCTACAAAGTAGTGGAGAAACGTTAAGAAATGCAGTCCCATGGTAGCCAGTGACCAACGACTGGTTCACACGCTACTTGTTCTTTCAGGATCCTATAGCTCATATGCATAATTAGTTTGGAACCAAGGTTTTCCAACTCCCTTAAGTAGATCCTCCGTGTCCACCGACCCGGTTAAAGCACCGGACATTCGCTTTTCGTAAACAACACCCCCACAACGAGAAGGCAGTGAGTAGAACTTCCTCGGCGATGGTTGCATAAGCGTGGCCATGTGAGAGCATTTCGATGGAAAGCTGGCTCTCCACACCCTCGACCGTACCAGGGAATTCGGACGCCTTCAATCCACTAGTATATTTTACCAACCGTGAAATTGCGATACGATAATGATGAATGTAACCAAACAAACAATAATTATTTTTAAAATGGCCACTGCGGGATATAGATTCTAAAGTTGACTACAAATCAGGAGATCCACAGTGATGATTAGTTCATTTTCAGCTAACAGTTTCATGTTATAAGCAAAAATTTTGAATATCATATGGTAGAGCTAGATTATTTGGAGCATATTGGCTCGTTATTTACTCATTTATTTGAACATAAATATTGATACAAAGGGCACCGAATACATATGCGCCACACAAGTCACTTGGTTTGTGTGCGGGCTACCCAGGTGCCCAGACCCAGACTGACTCGTAATAATTATGAAACCCTACAAAAATAAGATGAAAAATCTGGTCGATGTTTCAAAACAAAATATTAAATATGAATACTTGAAAACTTTCTTGAGTGGAAATTAGTAGAGAAAAACTGTGTCATTTGAATAAAGGACTGTAGGCTAACTATAATTCATTAGATTTTACATAAATACCTAGTCTCGTAACAAAAGACAATGCCCAAGTTTTAGGAGTTGAACTATTACAAAAATAATACAACCGAATTGATAAAGCAAATAAAATTATGAAACAATACCTGGTAGAGTCATTAATTAAAGACTTCAATTCATCGAGTTTTAGTCCACTAGTAGGGATCCTGTCGATAGACGTTACAAGATCCCCAACTTTTAATCCGGCTGATAATAATGAATTCGATGGAGAGACCGAAATTACACGACTGTACAGGGAAACGACATCTGAAGAAAATAGAATGAAAAGACGCCAAATAAACACGGAATCAAAAATTTTTGTCAAGGCCAGCCGTGAAATTTTGAATACATAAGTTGATGTTAGTAAATAACATTCCACTTGCTATTTCACGAGTCAGAGCTACCCCAAAGAGACATGTAGATATCAAAGCAGCAAACTTATAACCAATGAGCTCATGATAAATGATGAAAGCACAAAGTTTTAGTACCTTAGGAAACCCCATATTTCATATATTGATAAAATTTATTGATAGGAAGCCCTCTTTATTTATTGATTTATTTATTTGAGCACATAGATAGTGGTACAAGGGAGCACCAGATATATATGCGCCACGCAAGAAGCCCTCTTACAGTCTTATGGACGGTTAGCTAACCTCACAAAGTAATTTCTCCGTGAGGTCCCAAAAAAGTGCGAAATAGTGACTACTGGTAGTACTGTTGGAGATATTGTACTAAAAATATAATGATGAATAAAGCTAATAACAATAGTAATAATAATCTAAATTCAGAACACATATAGTAGGCCATGGGAAGGCTTTCCGAAAAAAATGTACATAAATCAGCTAAGCAAACTAGTTATGGTGACAGACCAGTGACATGAGATGTTTGAAGTCGATTGGTTTTTTAAATCCTGTTAGTTTGAGATTTTACTGAGATCGCTTTCCATACATGTCGTTTTCCTTTTGAAACAGGAGGTAGTTGATGAAACTGTCTAGTGAGATCACGTTTGAGCAATGATTACTTTATACAACATAGGAACGCTATATTTACTTCTTAAGGGAAAAAGCCATGTCCGAAAATGAATGAGTATTCTTAGCAAAGGCGTCTTAAATATAACGGACGTTTGCGCTTTTATAATTCCGGAATAAAAGTTAACAAACAGCAACGTACATTAAACGCAGTGTACTGCGAGACTAGATTATTTCAGCCATCTGCCAAGTTTTTACTACTATGCATTTTAATCTATGCTGATTGTGAGATAACGATATAGCGCCTTATTGACACAGAATCAGAACCTCACAAATAAAACAAAACTTACTCGCAAAACACGTTTACATGCTTGAAAAAAAACATACCTGGTTCATCAAGAACAAACTCTCCATCACCAACAACTACCTTTAAAGCCGATTCTACCATACTTTAAATGAGAAATAATGAAAATAATCTACACCATTTCGGTATAGAAACTGACATACGAATCACCATTTAAATATTTAGGATGAGATTTTCTGCATATCATGGTCTCATTAAGTTTTTAATGAAGATGTGACAAAAAGAAGTATCCACACATGCTTTTTAGTTTCATTTGTTAGGTTGGTAAGCCACTTGTGATCACAGCATCATATATTGAGAAACATTGTTTTAGAGTCGTAAAATTATTTACAAAATTGTACCTAAAATACTTGATTACAAAGGTTTATGTGTTAGGGATTTGAGTTCATAAAGAAGTCATGGACAATAATTCGAACTAATCATCGAAACACCCTCAGAAAACAGACTCGAATCATGCGCCCTCCCATAATGCAGATTTTGTGAGGTGAAACTCATAATGAAAATAGAACCTTGGTCTATTAACTTTGTAGGGCATAACTAAAGGACTTCTGATTCAAGTAGGTCTTTTTTGTATTGTTGATAACAAATTCCTAGTTCTTTAAAACTTAAAAATTTTATGTGACGGAAATAATTGGCTTTTAGTTTGTTAGCGGCAAATAAATCCCCAAGATAAATAGTTCTGTGAGTCTTCAACATAGGTCCTGACCCCATCCGTTTTACTGAATGCACTTAAGCTAAATCCGCTCTGTCGCGCATCCGCACCAGATCACGAATGGGTACGCCGTGCTGTGTATCCTTTACAACTGCTAGCCAGCTTAGACCTAACGCTTCTCGACGTATATGTTGCTTTCCAAATGTATCCTTAAGCCCCTTTATTTCTGACCTGATTTGACTGGGTTGGTGTACTTCGATCATAAAGGTTTCACGTGTAAAGGTGTTGTCAAAATTCCTTAGGATCTAATCATAGGTTGTAAGCGAAGGTTATTGGCTACAGAAAGTCATAATTGTTGTTCTATCCGTTCAGAAATTTTCGATAATAGAGACTTTGATTAGGAATATATTGGTGATTGAAGAATAACACCTGATCCCTCTCAACACCTTCAGAAGTAAATGTGAAGATTCACACTGAAAAAAAGATCACCACCAACTGAACTCAAATAATTCAGGTAGATGTGAGCAGAATACAGGGAGCCTTTTTTTCAATGAGCTCCTGCGTTTGGTAGCGGTGGTTTACCGATCTATTATGTTAAAGACCTATAAAAATGAAACAAACAGCAATCATAGAAGTATCAGTAAAGTAGTACGAAATAATATCCAAGATCAGGAGAATGTACAAAGTTTCTCCCAAGAGGAACGCGAGAGTGTTACTCCCAACTTGCATTTTAAAATTCTTATACCTTACCACCTGTGAAGAGTGGTAGGTTCGCCTTCAGTTCAGTTGACTGTGTTGTATTTCTACTTTCCGGATACTTCTCTTAAGATTTTTATCAGAACCGAACTTATGTGGGTGTTCTAAAGGATGCTCAGGAGGTTTTACGGTTCCGTAACAGGTAATGTCTCAGTGATCTATGTTAGCGAATTTTATGGATTACATACTCTATTTTGTGCGTATTCATTATTGTTCTAGTTTCAAGTGATTTCTTTGGTGCAATTTAACATTGAAACGTATAAGTGATCGGTTGAGATAGAGAATATGATGATACATCATCATCACATAGCTTTTAATATGCCTTACGGAACAGGTAGCACTTCTTGTGCCACCAAAAGTGTAGAGCAAGGTTTGTTCCTGAGTTCAAGAACTCGGTCAGAAGTGAAACCGATTCAACGTTACAAAAGCGATTTAAAGAGGTATATAGAATAATACATTAGTATCGATACCATTGGTTCATGAAATCCTACTTGACCATAATTGGCCTTAACTTAACATTTTTAGCCATTCAGACGTAGGTGGATTGAACTTATCTTCCCACCATTTCTGCTGGCCAGTAACGTCACTGTTATATCGATTGCGTGCGTTCTTGCCAAGTTGATATATATAACGTTATAAGACCGCCAATTAGATAGGAGTGAATTATCGATCAGAGAAATGATAAACAAAAGACGTATGAACAGTCTTGAGTACTTATCAGTCCTGCTTCCTCCCTAGCCCAGCCAATTAAGTAAGTCCAGAACGCCAATAACAGCCTCTGCAATATGAATCATTATTCTCAAACATACTGGGTTTATATACCAAAAAAACAGACCACATCGTACCATAGAATATAAATTAACATTTGTATAAGATTTGGCCAAATGTGACTGTGAATAGGGGGAACAGTAATTAGTGGACATGGATAACTCAAGAATGGTAAATCGTGTAATAATAGTCTATAGGTCAAAATAAAGCTTTTAATAAAAGGAACACCAATACGAATAGTTAAGTTACTTAGAAATTATGCTATAGGAAATATACGTGTCATATTGGGCCATAAACAGTCCTCAAAAGTTACCATTCATAATTCTCCACGGGATACAACAGTCGCACTTTCTCCTTTTCTGATGTTAGGCTACCTTACATGTGTGGTATGTATGAATATTGCTATGATCAAAACTCCTTGTTGAAATACACTGTCTCCACTGGTTCCATGTCACAAGCAAATCAGATGGTTGACGCTTCTGTATTGTGGATTAGATAAACATTTAGTACATCACTTTGCTATGAAGGTAATTAGTGGTACAAGTTATTAGACACTGGTCAGATTATAAGCGGTTTAGAGATGGCAAAGATATATAACAAATCAAAGAATATGTCATAGTTAAAGAATGTAAAATTTTCAGAGTGTAAAAACAAAACACTGAACGGCTGACACGAATTCAGGACATTATGAGCTTCTTGTGATTGACCATAGTTGATCAGCATTCGTGTGTTTAGTGAGTTATCTATCTATTTGTAATAGAAAAAGATGATTCAACACTTTGGGAGAATGATGCAACTTTAACAATTAGGGAGATTTGGGATCTGAAAGTGAAGAGTAGGAGCATAAGAGCATGACCAATAATTAATGAATAATGGGAGAGGATAAACCATGCGTCCTATCATTTGGTTATATTCATATTGATGATAATGGGGATCCGTTATATTCATGATCAGCTAAGGTATCATAGTGAAGCGCACCATTGGTGGGAGGAAGTTCAGGGAATAGTTGATGAAGCTCTAATATATAAGCTCTGATATAAACTCTAATAATCTCACCAGTGATATTTCTAAAAGCAGTCAAATAAAATCTAGCTTTACCCAAACTATTCAAGACGTATTACCGTATAAATGCCTAATCAGTGTTCCAGAAAATCCTGATTTCGAAATTATAAAAAACACTGAAAAAATAATTGACCACATATCAGCTGAAGTGCTGAAAAGACTTCAGTGTATGCACAATGTCATTGCGTATAATATACCTGATAGTACGAATCTAAAGCTTGCTAAAAATACTCTACTACAAGAATGTGAACTGTCGCAATCTCGGTGTGTAGCAAGAAGATTGCGTAAAACACAGACTAAAGCCTCTTGTCCCATTCTATTTCAGTTTGGTAGTATCATAGAAGCCAATCACCTCCTTAAAAGTCAATCTTTACTGAGGCGTATTCCAACCTTGAAGAAAGTTAGGATCACCCATGACAAGACTGCTATCGAACGTCGAAACTCCAGTGAAGTGCAAAACAATCAACCCAGCCTACGTGGTAGCGGCAGTTACAACGTTGGCCATAGCGCTATCCCTAAAACACCATACCCCACCCCTCCCAAAAACGGAGGCACGTCGTATACTGCTACTAGTCCTAAGAACAAGACTGAACATCAGGTAGCTGTAACCATTCACCCTAAGCCCAAACACTTAACTACATCAAAATTCCCACCCACCTATGCGTCTACAGTTTCAAAGCACTGTTCTTGTGGCTCCGATAAAAAGCCAAAACCCAACCCTCACATCAATCGCTCTAATAGCTATAACCGTCCAAACACTGTAATGAGAAATAATACTAAATTCTCTCTAAACACCCATAAGTACTCCAGCACTGTCAATACACAACATGCACCTACTCATAGTAGTCGAATGCACAACAACAAGCATAGTGAACCGACAGTACCCCCTTATCCTAACGTGAGGTTACGCCCGACAAAAATCATACTTACACATGATGCCAATAAGCCATATAGCTTGAAATATGCAAGTTAAAGGAATCAGCACAGCCCACACAACAGGCACACCACCCCCGGCAACAGTGTCAGACAATCATGCAATAATTATTTGAAACACACAACTCCCATAACTACACGTAATAGGAGTAGAACACCCCACTGCACACAAGGCAACCATAATGTTGGCCTGCTTGGGGACCCACCTATCGATTCTAAATACTACCAGAACCAAACCATCCTTTATAACTCTCTGATCTCCCCCAATTTGGCACACACACCACCTCATCCTTTTTTATCTCTCTCCCCCTCAACAGTATTGCTATGGGGTCTCCAAATGTTGAGGGCGACAATTCCACTATTCTGAGACCACCTTCTATATACTCCGACCTGATGGGGAGTGACACATCTTTCTCACCGTCGATAACTGTCTCTAGTCTTAAAAGCTCCTTGACGGATCATGATCACCCTCCGAATACACTACCTATCCATTTAACTCATCCGATTCTACCCAACACTCCTGAACATACTTCTTTCGCCAAACTAACCTCCGACCACCTTTCTCCCGTTAACTATGCTGATATTAAATTAAACAAACAAGAACGTAGAGCCAATACTCCCACTTTTTCCTTTTCTCATAGCAAAAGCGACAAACAACAGGGTTTACAGCACACCATTTTATTAGACAAACACTCATCCTTCCTGACACTAATGTTAATCAATGCCCGATCTATTCAGAATAAGATGACTCAACTACGCGCCCTATTACTATTACACAACCCCTCACTTGTTTTGATAACGGAAAGTTGGTTGTCCTCCGATATCACAGACACGTACCTCCGAATAGACACGTATGAGCTCTTCCGCTGTGACCGAGTCACCAAGAAGGGTGGCGGTTGTCTCATATATGTATCAAAAAACATGAGGGCGAAAATCTTTAGTGATCATATCCTCAGTAAAGTACCAGATTCGATATGGCTTACTGTAAACACCCTTGAATGTAAAATACTAATCGGATGTATATATCGAGCTCCGAATACCCCCAGTCTGACTGACACCATTATAAGTGAGTCATTTGCTAAGGCTGCCTCGCTTGATTTCGCCTACAAAATTGTCTGTGGTGATTTCAACCTTCCAACCATCAACTGGAAGACACATTCTGGCCCACCGTGCTACGAAGGAATACTAAGGTCCTTAGACATACACGGTTGGAAGCAACATGTTAGCCTGCGTACCCGAAATCACAACATTCTTGACTTGATATTGTCACAATGTCACACCAAGATCAATGGTGGTTTGCG